TAGCATTATAGGTATAAGTTACTGTCCAGACCTTTACTATATCAAAAAGTCTCAAAAAGAGTCTATCTCCCTGTGATATGTGTGAGCTATCTGCCTTACAGCTGTTTCATCCTCCATAGAACCATATAATTCATATACAGCCTGGCTTAAACTGGGAAACATGTTGTCCTAGTATGTGCAATATCCAGTGGGAAGCTGCTCTGATCCTGCCTGGGAAGGATTCACTTTTAGTTCCATTTGTACGCTTACCAAAACCCTACTTCCAGTAGCCAGTTATTTCTCCCATCAGTGTAAGATGTGGTTAGCCAGCTATTTCACTCAGCAGTTTAAAACCAGACCAGTAGTCTGGTTTCAGGATTACAGATATTTTTCAGTACAAGCGAACATTTAGTTAGCTAAGTGAATCTGTCGTATACAAGCATAATATCGTTTCTTCTCTTGGAATTTCAAGGAAAAGTTGTGGATTTCTGGGTCTTCATATTTTCCATTTGATTAATTGCTAGTACATGATGATATGATTTCCTGTGATCTTAGAGGAAATGTGACAACTGGGCTGCTTTGTCAACTAGTAATTTTTAAAATCAATTTGGATGTTTGCAAAGTAAATTGAAATAGCTTCTAAAACATTAATTTTTAAAATATTTTTTCTTGTGCCTCCTATCAATAAGTAATGCCACTTAATTTATCTATGCTTTTGGCTAATTTACAGTGTCATGAACATGTAAAGATTATTTAATGAGATTTTGTAGAAGACTGCAACTTATTTTTACTTAATGCACGTACTGTGACCATACGGTTGAAATTAAAATACAGCTAATATGATCATTCTTGATGCCCTTTAGGTAACCTGGTAAAAATAATCTCCTTTCATCATCAGAGCGAATGATTTTCATATTGTGTATGTCAGTGGTGGGGGATGTGTCACTTTGAGATTGCCTTATATTTTCCTACTTTGGTAGTTATGCTCAACTTTCAGGGAGAGCTGAATATATGCCATGGGAACAGAAGCTGTCAGCAGAAATCTGCATGTCATTTGGTGCCAGTTCTGGAAATAAGAAAAGAATTAAAATTCCTTTCCTCTGGAATGAAGCAATATTTTTAAAGACTGTATAAGTTAATAAGCAAAATGTGATGTTGAACCCAATTTTTCACTTCATAAATGAAATTAAATGCATTTTTTAAGGGATTAAAGATCATCTTATCTTTGAGTATATGAATGTTGGCATTCTGACTTAGCTCATCCTTTTCCAGTGGTGAAGGTAAGAGACAAGAACTGTGCACAGGCTCTCCTTTATTGTCCCTATCTGTCTCCTGGCATTTCTCTAGTATGAATTATGAAAACTCTAAGCCTATTTCACTGCTTCTCTATGCACTTCCTTGTTCCATGTTGAGGTGATCCGTGTTCTGCAGTTGTTTATACCTGCTCGTCAAAATTGTTCTTGTTACTTTGCTTTTACCATTTCTGAAACATGAAGCTGACAGCAATTATTTTGCCAGCATTCAGTAGGAAAGCTTTTAGCAAAAGGGAATTGCTAATTATAAAGTGTTTTAATTCAGAGAAAGAAGCTAAAATCCATGCACAGGAGACGGTTGATAAGAATGCACATACCAAGACAACAAAATGGGTTCCCGCTGCTGTGGCAGATTGGGTTTCTTTCTGGGAAAGAAGCAGATTTCAGCCAAAGTGTACTTTTCCTTTTCACTGGTTTCTCCACAAGAAATTGCTTTGATATTCTTTGCCAAATCACTTGAGACAAAAATATTAATTTTTATTTTAAAAATTATGTGTTTTCTTCTAAAAAATGGAATTTTTTTTTTCTCTTCCACCTTCAGTTCAGAAAAATGGTTCTATTTTCTGAATGCTGTAGTTGAAATGCTTCCACTCAGTGTCCTGGAGTACAACTGTTTGTACTTCAGACAAATGCTATTTCACATTCCTCAGGTGAGCTCTGTGACTGAGCACAGCCCTTCCCTTTGATTCCTTTCCTTCTAACAGCCCTGCCCGTTTTCCTAACAAATGAGGCTGTTGTGCTGCCAGCAGGGAGGTACCTTTTACACCCTCTTGATCCTTTTTGGAGCAGTTACATCCTTTATGGAAGTGTAAAATGCGAGGTTATAAGATGTTTTTCTATGATTTTCTGGATAATGGCATTAGTTCTAGGAGTTAAACCTCTGCTGCAGTGGTCAGTAGCAAGGCCACAGACAGTTTTCCCCATGGTGACATTTCAGGCTGGTGAGGCGATGGCACAGGCCTGCTGCTCTTCACTGTGGGCAGGTTCAGCAGTGCCTGCGTGCCCTGACTGTACCAATAATGACACATCTTGGGTTAGGAGGTGTGCTAATGGGTGTGGACTTTTGTAATGGGAAGGAGGATCAGCATTACTGGCAGAGTGAAATAATGGTAGCAGGAAACCCATGAGGGCTGGTGTTCCCTAGCAGATCTTCGTTGGTTTAATCAGTCTGAATCTAGCTGTTTGTGCATCTTCCCAGTGTCGGCCCCTACGAAAGGAAGTCCGATGTTTGCTTTTATTATGAACGTGGTGATGATAAAGCAAAGTCAAAATGGTGAATGTACAAATTTCAACCTGTAAATTGCTGCTGTTCATGCAGGGGTGGTGCTTAAGGCAGTTTCTGGGTGTTGAAATCATAAACCCCCTTGGTGTTGCTTGTTCCTGTAGGACCATTAAGGTTGTCGAATTGATTGATATTGTGAGTTGTTAGATTCACAGCTGCTGGTGTGATCTTAAACAGCTTCCGTTGTCTACATCCTGACAAAGATTGTCATTACCCCCTGCTATTTTTATAGGCATCTGGGTTTTGGTGGTTTGGGTTTTTTTCAAGAAGTTTTTGGCTTTGGCAGATGAGTTTGTATTTTATTCCTGTGTTTTTCAGTTCTCGGGGGAACCTTGGCCTCTGAAGTGCACCACTAGTAATATAAAGAAGTTGTGTTTCTTATGGGTTTGGATGCTTCAGTAATTGTGATGTGCTTGACTTAAGTTGAAAATTTGAGCATTGTTTCTCTGTTGTTACTTTGCTTCTGTTCACAGATCAGTTAGAAAATTTATCTGTGAACATGGCAAGTCTGCAGGGGGGAACATTTTCCTTTCTGCATTTGCCGTAGCAATGCTGTGTGTGAGACTTGGTTACTTCTCTTCAACATCAGCTTTTCATTAAGATCTCCATTTAAATGTTGTTTTGAATTTGATTTCAAAAAATGATCTTGCAGCTCCCAGTGAAATAAGTTGGAGCAATATCTATTCATCAAGTCAATTCTAAAAACTCTCATATTGCATGAATTCATGTTTACTTTTGAACTTAATTTCTTCAAATGTGATTCCCACTGGTTTATTTTCATAACAGTCCATTTTCCAATGATGCTGTATAAAGAAGAGTTGCTAAGCTATATAGAACAGCCTACAGAGAATTACTAAATCAGACTAATGTCTGAAAAAATTGCAGAGGATAAGACTGGAAGCTGCATATAAGCAATGAGGTTTAAAACCAATGACTGAGTAGAGACTCACTGAGGAGCAACAGCCTGTTTCGTTGTTTGCATAAGAAAGCATTGTAGCAGGAAAAAACCCTTTGGTAGATATAAACTGTATACTGTGATATACTTTATGTCCATGGAAGAGACAGGTTAAGGTTTTCAGGCAACTCTTGATGTTGAACTCAGTTAGAGTTGGTAACTTCAGTACCTCTGTATCTTTGAAGTATAAATGCTTTCATCAATCTTAATTCAGGTGTTATTATTTGAGTGCAATGCTGGTCTATGTGTAGAGAGGATGTCACAAGACCTTACAGTACAATTAAGCACAAATATACAAAGAAAGTTATTAATAGATTTTTGTTTTGTTTTGTTTTTCTTTTTTTACATAATGCAGAATGGGAGGAAAGGTTAAATACTTAATGATGTTAGTCATGACAGAGTTTGACTGACAAGTGATGAAATTGCTACTATTTCCACTGACAGATAAGAGGTTTTTTGACAGCTCTGTGGAGTTTGTTCTTTGTTAATGTGACAACATTTCTAATGTAATTAAAATTATTTTTGAAGTGCTACATAGAAATTAATTTCAAAAGGAGCGGGAAGATACTAAGGTACTTAATATAATTTCTGCATATTCAATTGTGCTAAGAACCTGTTCAATTTATTTTAAGTTCTGTTACCAAGTAATTTGTGGGTTTTTATGATAAAAAGGTGAATATGTGGTTCAACAGACTTATCAAAATTGCATTTTGGTCCATGGTTTTTTCTTTGCCATTCCCAGGAAATGAAAAATGTCAAGATCAGATCCAAACTTTATGCTGGTTACTGAATTTCTTGATTTTTTTTTTTCTTTTTAAAATTCAGTAATTATAGAGTGCAAATATTGTACTGCAATAGCGTGAACTGTGCTTCCTTTGCTTTTGTTAGATACTGCATTCCTTAAAAAATGTTAATTAAGTGGGTATGTACTGAAGTTAAAAGATAGATCAGGAGATATGTAAAAAAGTATTTGGTCATGGTGACATGCCTTAAAATCCTAAAAATGGGAAAAAGAAGCAGTGTTTGAGGCAGTCACAAGTTTCTGTTAAAAGGGAACTGCTTGAAACTTGTCACACAACACTTTGATTTCTTTTACATTCTCACCTGTGTGTCCAAGCCAGAGTCCTTGGCCCTTGTGGAAAAGGGGAAGTGCTACAATGCACTACTCCTCGTCTGCTGTGGACAGGCGAGAAATGCCATCTTTTAGGGGAGCAAAAATATCTTACAGTCTGTTCAGTAAACTTGCTGTAGTGCTGCATTTTTGGTTCAAGTTTACTGATGTACTCTCTACTTACAGAGCTTCAGAAAATGCAGTACAACTTGAGTCTTGGAGAACATGTAGCCTCCAATTTATAGTTTCTATGAAATGAGATGCTGTTTTGACTCTCTATCACTTTCTCTATAAAAGATAGGCAACTCTTCAGGATTCTTTCTGATATCTTCTTTTTTTTTTTTTTTCCTACCCCTTAAGATCGTGCTGGAAGCATCAGTACTCTTGATTCTTTAGATTTTGCAAGATACTCTGATGATGGCAATAGAGAAACGGATGAAAGAGTAGCAGGTAAGTGTTCTATATGTTTTAGGAATCACAGAATGTTAATTTTACTGTTTAACTTGTTGTTTCTGGCATAAATATGTTTAAATGAACATTTCTGAAGATGACAAGATTTCACTGAGGTGGTTAAACTAGTTGCTTGATGTTGGACACTTCTGCTGTAATTACTGTAAATATTCAGGCAGGTGTACTTGTGTATGATTCCAGATGTCACCAGTGCAGAAACACGCAGTATACTTGGAAATTGTGCCCAGCCTTTAACAATAGAACTGTATCCTGGTATTGCCTACTGACTACTGCTGTCAAGCTGAAACATTCACTAAATTACTCTGCATAGTGGTCTGTTACTACTTCGTGGGTTAGAGCTTTCTGATGTAAAGATCTGTTGCAAGTCATCTCTTAAGCATAGCTTTCATCAAGATCAAATAAGCACTTCCAAACCCAGAGCAAATTTGGGATTTACTCAGTTCCATAAATCTCCTTTGCTACAAGTCTTAATTGTAGTGCTTTTCTCTCCTATTTGATTCTTTGATTGTATAAGATTGGGGTGTTTGCCTTTTGTTCTAAGCCTTTGGTACTTTTAACTTCAGGATCTATTACATCACCAAAGGCAGGACTTTGTCTTATGTTAGAAATTATTTTACTAACCACTTTTGCATGTGAGCCATGTTTCTCTGTCCAGGTTTTTTTCCAAGTTCGTATATTAAGTTATTCACAGCTTCCACAGAGAAACCCATAAAAGCTCTCTAGAAATGGCTACAGAGCTCTGTTTACTTGTTGTCAGTTAGTAGTGTTCAATGTCCTGAGCTCACGGAAGTTGTCCATGCTGTGACTTCTGCTCACATGGTTAAGCTTTATGAAACCTGAGGTGATGCAAGCTGCCATGTCTCTCTTCCATCCTGTTGTCTCTGCTCTGAATCACCAAGCAACAAAAAGGCTGACGAAACATAGTTCTGTAAAGGATCTTCATTTGGAAATTTCATCTCTGGATCAGTCTGAAATGGTGGGGAAAATCTCATTTTTCTTACCTGGCCAGTGCTGCTGAGTTGAAGGACTGCATTAAATTCACAAACACAAAGCAAATCCAGGTATTTTGGTGTTCTGGTCTAGAACTTACTGTTCATCACTTTATATGGAAACTTCCAGATTCTTATTATTATTTAGCTACTCTCTTTTTCAACATACATAGTCCTTTTTAAGGAGGCAATAGTTGTAAATAGAAAACTCATCTTCTAAACAAATTGTGTTTAAGGTACCCAGGCCTTTGTGAATTGGGTCCTGGAGTGCAAGGAAGAAACAAGCAAAATCCGAATATTTTATTTATTTTTATTATTGTAGTAGATTTTTCCTGGTTCTAGTCAGTATTTCTTGGCAATAGTGTTACTGAGAGAGCTAGTTTGAGTCTTGCTTGGAGCTGTCCTTAGAATTGGATTGGAGATGATTATAGAAAATATAGACCAGTCAGAATTGGCATCCAGTAGAGCCAGTAATCTTCTGACAAAACATTAGTAACAAAATATTGATTACTTCCAGCATGAAATTAATATAGCCTAAAATTAAGTATTAAGTTTAAATAAATAGTAAAATTGGTCAATATTTTTGATAATTACTACATAGTGGTTGACTGCTGTCATATGTAATTGATGAGGAAATTGTATGTCAGGATCTTTACAGTTCTGTGTTCCTTTAGAGATGTTTTTCAAAGAGTTCTTAAAAAATAACATAAGAACTTGAACAAAGTAAGTCTGAACATTATTTCTGGATGTTTTTAAAGACTGGAAATTTTCAAAAATATTTTGTTCCTACTTAAAATTCTGGTTCAGCCATAATTGCTTAAAATATTTTGCCTCAATCGTGTTTAAAGCTATCTTCCTGAGCAATTTCAAAAATTGATAAGTATTTATTTTGCACATTAAAAAATTATCTCAACAGATGTTTCAAAAATTTTGCAAAGCCAGTTTCTTCTTTAAACAAACTCTGGCTTATAACTCTTGCTTTTGAAGTTATTCTTAGCTGCAAATGCACTTTGAAACCTAACTGGAAGTCCATTTTGCCTATTTCTTCTAAAATTCTTTCTTTTCTGTTAAGAGCTTTGATGCTTAGGAGATTAAAATTGTAATCTGTTGTGAAAGCTTGGGGCCATGATCTAATAGTCATATTTTTCTTCTGATAGTTCTGAAGATGGGGTTTGAATAATTTCTCTTTGTAAATGCCTTTCTTATGCTCCTCTCTTTGTTTTTTGCTGTTTGGACAGAGCACATGATTTCCATATGAGTTCCCTGTCGTATCAAATGAAAGATAGGACATAAATGCACATCAGTCGCTAAATGAAACTGCTAAACTGGTTCTGAGTCAGAAGGAGTTTAAAACTGAAGTTATAACAAACCCACTTCACAAATACTTTTGTGTCTTAGCTGTTAGCCTCAAATCAAAAAATGCATGCATATATCATCGTCTAAAGCCACCACACCATATTCCATTTGGTATAGAGTAGTGGTAGACTAAGCTGCCTTTTTTTTTTTTGCTTAACAGTCCAAAAATTCCTGGAAACAATGTATCAGCTCTTGTTTGAAATTGATTTCAGTATTTAAAAGCTATTAGCCCACTTCATTCCATCTGGAATTAGAATCAAAATTTGGCCTATAAACAAACATGTTTTGAGGAGTTGCTGTGAGCTTTTCACTTGGGAAATCTGCTGGAAGGAATCTAAGTGAGTCCCTTCTATAATATTATCTACTTGACTGAAAAGATGCAAGTCATAGAAGACAGTATGTGGATAAGTATGACAAAACTAACTATGCAATTTAGAAAACATAGGTTTTCTTCTTTATCTACCTGATCGTAATGAAAATGAAAGTTGTGTAACAATTTGGATGATACATTTGTAATCCACTAAAACGAAAAAAAACCCAAAATGCATCCTTAGAGCTTGCAATTTACTAGATGGAAACAACTTGTTCTCTAAGACTGGTAACTTTTGAATCCAAAGTCATGTGTTGAGTGCTTGAAATAATTGCTCCTAGGTTAGACTCAGTACTGAAGGATTTGTTAGGGGTAGTAGACCTCCTCCAAATACTCATAATTTCCAGAAAGCAGCTAGAGACTGGAAAACCTGCTCCCTTCCTGTGTAACAAGGGTACACCTAACTTGAATACCCACAGGATTTGTTTAAAATAGGTTGCCTGACATTCAGACTAAGGAACTGAATCGTCTGCCGCATCTTAAATTTGCCATGTTCTAAACCCCCTGCTTTGCATAATTCAAAATGTTTATTATTGCTAACCTGCCTTTGACATCAACTGTTTTGAGAATCTAATAATTTTAAAAACACATGCTGTGTTTTCAAAGATGATAAAATTAATCCTTCTAATCAAACTCCATTTCAGACATATGTATTCTCAGATTTCCCTGTATTTGCATTGATTTCTAGCTAGTCTGTGTCTCTGATTAGAAGAATAAGATTTGAAAGGAAGTTCAAAAAACACTTATTTTTGAGAATTTCATTTACCTAGACTCAGATTCACAGTTTCTGCTTTTTACAGAGCCTTTTTTTTTGTGTTTTTTTTTAGTAGGCACTATTAAATTGTGCACACCAAAATCAGAGGAAAATCTTTTAAAAATCAAACAAAACTTCAAAACAGAGAACAAAAGGCATCTGTAGTGCGACAATCACTTGCTAACATTGTGCTGTGTGTACTTTGTTCATTAAAGCAGATCTGGTTTTGTCTTCCCGTTACCTGTCTGAAGCCTGTGAAGAAGTTGTAAGCCTCTTCACTTTCCTTCCAGGTTGAAGGTCTCCAGGGGCTGAAGCTGAAGACAGGTCTGCTGTAGTTCAGGTCTTCCCTGTAGGTGGTCCTGTCTCATTAACTTCAAAGCATTAATGAGGCTGCTGAGTCAAGCATTGGCCTCCCACTATTAGAGAGACAAGTTCTCTGTTACTTGCTCATGAACCCTCTTGCTGGGCTTTGGTTTTGTACTGTGGTAGTCATGTGCTGAAGTACAGCTTTCTGATTTGGAGCTATTTGTGTTATGTGCTGAAGTGTTTCACATTTCAGGGCTGCCTTTTTTCTTAATACTTCCATCAGGAAAGTAGGAGCTGGGAAACCTCAGGTCCTGAAGTATGTTTGGGGCAGTGGCTTCATTGCTAGCTGTTGTCAGAGAAATTAAATTTCTTCTGAATTGATTCCAAGTGTGTGTACAGATTCATCAAATTTAATGGGATGTCATACATGTTTTAGAGGGCATGATTGAGGACATCTGGAGTTCTGCATTTACTTGGCAAGGAGGAAGGACTCAAAATGTCAGTTAAGGAACCACAGAACTTGTAACAGTATGAAAGTGAGGAAAGCTGCGTAAGCACAGGGGCCCTTGATACTTCAGAGGAAAACTACTTTTTTGAAAGAAAATGTCCAAATGCCATACAGTGGCTTCAGAACACAAAAGTACCCTTCTACCATTATCTGAAGTACTGGGTACTTCATAGGGAAGTATGCAAAAATCTGACAAGGTATTCTAAATGTAGATTATATAATTCTAATGTAATTGGAAATACTGCTGCTTACACAACACAAATGCTGGATGATTTTAGAAATACTGTTTATTTCCTCAACTTTTTGGCTTGGCTCAATAAGACTGCTGTTCATGTAGATCTCAGCTAATTCAATCCCAGTTGCAGGTGGTTCTTTGTAGGTATCTAAGGTCCAATAACTTGTGAAGTCATTAAGAAATATGAGTCAATAGAATAAGACCTTTGAGAAAGCTTAATTTGGAAATTTCAAAGCTCAGCAGACAAGCTACTCATTCCTGATATGCACTTCTCTTTAAAGGTGCATTAGATTAGCTGCATGAAAACTGAAACATTTAAAAATTTCTGATCTGAAAACCTTGGTCCAATGCATCATTGCTTGCTTGAAAGATTCACTCGTTTTAAGTTAGGTTTTGTAATTTTTTTCAGGATAGTAACTGTAGTGATGGGAAACTTCTAATAACGAAAAAGCCATTTAAAAGCCATCACTTTTAATAAAAAGATCCATTGAAATTTGGATCATTTTCTCCCCTAAGGTAAACTAAATTGTTCAGAAATGCCCTTTCCTTGTAGGATGATTACCCAATCTCAAGGGTCTAAGTTTCTCTACTTTCCTGGTGCAGAGCAATATCTGATTCTTTCCTTTCTTAGTCTGTCTGCAGCAAAACTTTTGGACATTATTCTTAAGGAGTGTCAGCTCCTTCACCAGTTGCTGGGAGTTGTACACATTATCAGCCTAGTCAAGCATGAAGCTAAGCTTTAGCTTGGCTTTATCAATGCTTCTGAAGGTGTAGCTTGAGCTTTGTAACAGGAGAGGGGGAGAGGCATCAGGTCATTCATGTTAAAAGTCAGTAGTTCACAATGGTTACAAATAAAGGGGTTAAAGAGTTGCCTTTTTATGTAAGAGAATGCTGTAGAATCAACAAATGGGGATTACTAATGTTGATTTCATTGGTAGACATGTTGAATTAAAAATCATTACATGTTTTGGCAGAAGATCACATTTCAGTATAACTTAAAGAGCTTTTAATCACCGTTTAACATTTGACTGAAGTTAATGTTGTAGCTATTTACATGTGTAATTGTATAAACACCTATAAACGTCTTCAAATAAAAGCTACCTTTGTGACTGACTTGAAAGCATCAAGGTTTGTATGATGGCAATTATCATGGTGCCATTAGTAAGATTAGATCAAGTACAACTGTAACAATGCTGTGTTGTGGTGGGATTATGTGGCTGTTTTGACATGCTGCCAAGTGACAGCTTCTCAGATATACTATGTCTAGAATCTTCTACTGTGTAACAGAAACATGCAGCAGAGTAATCTACTTTTAAGGTTGACTGGGTAAAGTCCTAATGACTTCTAAGAATTGTCAGCATCGTCACAGTTCACTAAAAATCAATTCTTGCCGTCTGACATGGGTTTGTCTGACATGAGTTTTTTGGCTTTCTACGCCTTCAGACATGTCTTATTCCTATTTTCCTTAATTGGATTCCTGAGTTTTTATAGTTTGCATTTTTTTTCTAACTTTTTTTATTATTTATATCATTCTAGTTCAGGGCACTCCTGATCTGCAACTGTTCTGGTCTTCTAAAATATTTTACAAGAGTAAAATGTTAACACATAGTCGTTTCCATAAGAAAAATTGCTTAATTTGAGTTCTTTAACATTTTCAAAAAGTAACAAATCAGTATCTTACAACTGTGAATAAGTAACTCAAATGCAAGGAAGTGCTAAAATTAGGTACTTACTTCATGATGAGAGTGTTTTCTAACTTTGTTGCACAGAAGTATTTGCAGATCAGCATTGCTGAATACTAGAGAGATTTTACATATTTTATTCATTGTATCCTCAGTTGCGCTTTTGTATTGCTGCAGTAAAATTCTGTGCATCAAACAAGTTACTTTCATGTAGCAAATGTGGTGTACTGTAGTAACTCCTTCAGTTTCTATGCAGAACTGCAAACTGAGTGAATCTTTTTTCCATGAGTGCTAATTACCACAAGTCTTAGATAGAGATGCTCAAAAGAGGAACTGGTTTTATTTGCAGCCTTCAGTAATATTTTTTTACCAGCAAAGTCCAATGCAGTGTTTCTGCTGTGCATTGTATTCTGTGTAAATATTTGCAAATGCCACGTTAAATTGTTTCCAGGCAGTGACTAAAGATCTCATTGAAACTTTCTTGTTAAAAGTCACTACAACATTTTTCCTTTTGTTTGGGAATAAAGTAGATATTAAACTATTCTAAATAGGTCATCTAACACTTGAGCATGGTAGGTGTTCAGTGCTCATCTCTACCAGTTAAGGGTCCTTCCTTCTGGTAACTGTATATTTCAGTGTGATTAGATTAATATGACAATTAGGGAAATGCATGTATTTATCTGGTCATCTCTTAAATAGGTTTCCTTAGATGTTCTATATGTAAATGGCTATTAAAAGAACATTTGCTGTATGTTTTGCAAAGGCCCAGGGGGTTGAAATTTGAGGCCACCATATACATACGACCTCAGCATCAAAACACATGAAATCCCAGTGCACACAAATCACCACTGGCCCTTTTTGAAGGAAACATTGGAACATGAGAAACAAATAAGAGTGACTAGGGGAGTGGAAAGGTGAATTAAGAGAGAGTAGAGAACTAGAATTAAGTATTTTTGAATTTAAAGCTGACTCTAGGTCTTTGAAAGTCAATGTAAACTTTCAGGAGTAATGACTTTTTTCCTTTCAAGCCTTTTTATAAGTACTGCAGAAGAACTGCATTTTTTTGGGTGTTTTTGTTCTTGTGCATCTTTCTTCATTTGAATTCAGTGAACTGAATTCAAAATCCTAATCAAATATAGAGCATTCCTAAAACTTCACTATTTTAAAATAGAAATTTAAAATTACTTTTTTATTTCTTAGTAAGATAAAGTACATTTCAAGATCTGCCATTTAAACTACTAAAATTTTGGTGTATGATTTTATTTTCTAAAAAAAGTCTGTGGTGTCAATGGGACTGTACATTCACTTCATGATTTAAGCTTTGCTACATGGAGACAGCTTCCTCTGCTGCCACAATATACTTGTTTCATTTGGATCTGTGTTCTTATTGCCCACATACTCCTCTTGCTCCCAAAAAACCAAAACATGAGCATTTGACAGCATCAGTTCCCAAATACTTTCCCAAAACCTTACAGCGAGTCCTTGTCAGACAGCTTGAAATTTTGACTTAGCTAAGCTAAGGCCAGTGAAACTATGGAAAATGTTCACCAGTTTGCTTTCAGACCAACTCTGCTGCATGTGTTCATGAGTTCCATAAAGATTGCATGCTTTACGTTTAATACAAACGGTATCTTTTTTTTCACACCCATCCTTGCTTTTTATATTTTATTTTTGTTTCCCTTGCCTTGGTTGGATGCCTGTGTGTGTTTAATCCAAATCCCTGTCCAGTCCTGGAGTTTGAACTACGGAAAGCCAAGGAGACCATACAGGCCCTTCGAGCCAACCTGACTCAGGCTGCAGGTGGTGTACATAAACCTTTTCTTAAGTCTCTACTTTAAACAATGTAGAAGTAGCTGAGCTCATCCTCTGTGAGAGAGTAAAATTTAGTTACTTCTTTTTTCCTCCCCAGAAAATGAAGTTCCTTTGCAGGAACGAACAAATTATAAATCAAGTCCTGAAATTCAGGTAGGTGGCTGGTGATAAATTAACTTTGCATGGATTTTAGTATGAATATGCTTCCATAGTTGGAAGGGAGATAAACAAAAGATCTAGTGTGTTTACTTTTTTTTTTTTTTTCCAGGAGCCAATTAGACCTCTTGAGAAAAGAGCTCTAAACTTCCTAGTTAATGAATTTTTATTGAAGAATAGTTACAAACTTACATCAATAACATTTTCAGATGAAAATCATGATCAGGTAAAGTTTCGTTGTGGGTTTGTTTGGGGTTTTTTGCACGCCTGCTTTCCATATTCTGATCTTGTCATAAAGTCAAGTAAACTTAAGGGATTTTTTGTGTGCATGTAGTTTTCTTCATATATATGAGTATTCTAAAAGTTAAATATGTTAGTTAGCATTTTCTTATATAAACCATGGTTTGAAAACAAAGTAGTTTGAGCAGTAGCTTCCCAAAATTTGTAGGAAGGAGAGACAGAGTGCTTACATTCTTTAAAGAAGCAAAACAAGAAGTGAAACACTCTGAGTTAGATATTTCCTTGTATTCTGGTGTGACACGCGTTCAGTTGAACTCAAGGATCTGGATCTCAAACGTAATCTTTTCCTTAGATCCTAATCAGTTGACTTGTGCAGGATATGCAGTTTACTCACTGGTTGTCTTCTGGGGATGAGTATGTGTGTGTGTGAGAGTACTTAGTCACCTGTGGCATTGAGTACAGTATTGAATAAGCTCTTGGTAATAAGGTGTTATCCTGGCTCTTTCCCAACATAGCTATGCTTTGATGCATTTTTCTTAAGATGATCAGTTTTATATCTCTGTTGGCTTACATTTGATGGGAAGACTATCTTGAGAAGAATGTTTGGAAGGTTCTAATTACAATCTGACTGTTTCTGGGTAGACAAAACACCCAGTAATATCAACACCCAATATGTATCACAAAATGGGAATATTACCAGAATAATTAAATATAGAATTTCATTCAGTTTTATCTGAAACTGGTCCTCCTGTACTTTTCCTACATTTCATATCCCAATCTGTGACGCAAATATGTTGTTAAATAGAATTTCTGAATCTTCCACCTCCACTGAATATTTGCACTTAACACCAAATACTTGTGAGAATACAGTCCCCAAAAAAGAAAAGTTTAACAATTTCTCTTGTTTGTGTTCTCAGCTGAGAATGTTTTGTGTTGTGAGACTATTACCAAAAAAGAGCAAAATTCTTTATTCTAAAAGGTAGCATACTGCAATTAATATATAGTAGGCACATTTTTTTTCTACGTTATTCACATAATTCTTTGAGAAAATAATCTTTCTTCAAAGAAATATATGTGACCAGACTATGGAAAAAATATAGTGAAGATTGGGAACAATAGGAAAAAAGTTTATACCAATACTTAAACTTAATGTCATTAAAGAGACCATCATAACTCCTGTGTAACAGTGCACAAACTTGCTTGTATATACAGACATGGAATATTGTTGTACTAATAGGATGATAAGGTATAAATGAGCAAAGCAAGAATATAGAGTGATGGTTTAAGACAGGAGGCCCTTGTATTGTTTGCATCTCACTATCAGTGTTCTACAGAGGTGTTTAAGCTATATTAGACATCAGGAGGAAATTCTTCATGGAGGTGTTAAACGTTGGAACAGACTGCCCAGAGAGGTGGTGGAGTCACTGTCCCTGGAGGTGTTCAAGAAATGACTGGATGTTGCACTTACTGCTCTGGTCTTATTTACATGCTGATGATCAGTCAGAGGTTGGGCTTGATCTCAGAGACCTTGTCCAACCTAAATGATTCTGTGATACTGTGCCTGTCTTCCCTAGGGAAATTCCACCTGCACTTGTGAGTGAAATGGGAACAAAAGCAATATTTCTGCCTTGTATCAACTGCATTGGCTTCTGCTAGAATTTGAGCTATGTTATTTCTAATTCTACAAAGTGTTCATGTCTTAGCAAAAAAAAAAAAAAAAAGTAACCTATGTGGTTTGGAAGGTACTCTCTCTACTATGTTACCTAGAGCTGCCTTTGTGGTCACACTGCTTTGTTTCCCAAAGTGGATCCTTCCTCTACTATTGCTTCTTGCTGAGTTAAGCTTCTCTTTGATTTACTACAATGCAGTCTTGATGTGATTATTTTGCTATTGCATCACCTGTGGTCAAATGAGGAAGAGACAGGAAAATAAAAGGAAGCATATTGTATGCCTTAGTTTCTTTGATTCTTTTGAAGGATTTTGAACTTTGGGATGATGTAGGATTGAACATTCCAAAGCCTCCTGACCTGTTACAACTCTACCGTGACTTTGGAAACCATCATGTTGCTGCAAGAGATGTGGTGGATGCATCAGTTGGTGTGGAAGATGATGAGTTAGAGGCTGACACTCCTATACTTGGGACCGTCCCTGTGTTTGAAACAGCACCACCGTCAATAGAAGTAAGACTGTACAGAAGAAATGTTACAGCTGTTTGATGTACTGCTTAACTTGGTTGTACTAAACTCTTCTGTTTTCTGTCTTGTGTTTAGCAATGTTTAATAGTGCAAAAATTAGAAGATCAAATTAGTGTGTTAAACAGTGAGAAATGGTCTTTGATGGAACAAATCCAAAGACTTGAAAGGTATGTTCCTATCAACCTACTTGACTCTTGATAAATGTTGGATAACTTTTCATTGTTTTTCTGACACATATATGGAACCATAACTTAGATACAGGAATTGACTGGGAATTCTTCAGGGCAGGGCAGTCTTTCATTTTCAATACATAGTATTTGATTTAGAAAAAGGAGGCAACTTCAAATTGACTATTTCCCTTTATTACCCATACAATTTAATTTTGTAACTTCATTAGTTCTTTGAAAACAAACGCTTCTGATATGCTTTACACAGTTTTTTTTCAATTAGCTCTATGTCATGCCTTAGTGTGTACAGCTTGCAAACACTGTCAGAAAGATGCTTGTTTTAACATCTGATGTCAACCCAGTTTTTCTTTCTGAAGAGCAAGACTAGTATATGTGATTGTATCTTTAAGCAAAAAAAAAAAGGTAGTTAAAAGTTTGGTCAAAACATGTCATTCTGTAAGCCATAGGGTATCATTCCTCTTAAGAGGTCTACTAATGCAGTGTGTGGGAAAATGCATAAATTTTAAGTGGCTTTATTGACTTGCATAGTTACCATTTCAAACTATAGGACTATTTCAAACAGAACAGTACACCACTCTAGTATTTTATGTTTTGCATCCTGGGTAGTGTTCTGTCTTGTGACAATTTGTGTTCCAGTGCTCAGATTTAAGCCAGAAGGAGATAAAACTGTTGTTACTTGCTTGTTTTGTTGATTCACTCACTCAGAATGCAACATTTTTCCTGCTACTAATTATTTACTGAAGTGCTCAGTGAAACTAGTGCTTATTTGAACAGTTTGTGTGATCAAAGTCATTTCTCTTATAGGAATTCTTAAACATACATGAATTGAAGAGTATGTTGAGCTCTTCAGCATGTTGTTTTATTTCTGTGCTGCAGTGATATGATTTGAACAACATTTGCATGAAAGCTACAAAAATATTTCATATTTGCTTTTTCAGTGAAATAGATCTTCTCAAGAATGAAAACTTTTCTGTGTCAACTGTTTATGGTGTAGCTCCCCATCCTTCTTTAAAACAAGTGCCTCTCACAGTCTCAGAGGACAATGGACGGTACTTGGATATCAAGAGCTCTGAGAATGACAGTAAACATGGCAACATTGAGGAAACAAGCCTTGCTTTATCAGCTGAAGTGGATTCAAGGACTTCTAAAGATGATATGCTAAATTCTGTGCCCTCTAAAGAGACAGAGAAACTGTCCTCGTGTCCTCCATCATCTAGAGCTGCAGTCCACTTTGACAAACCTAATAGGTTAGTGATAAGTTGTAAATTGCATGGTATTATTAAAAATTCTTGTCAAGTGAGTAGATAATTTTCTAACAGTGAAATTCTGCCAAATGAATACATCATTTGTGTTTTGAAGGCAAATAAAAGACTTAACATACCTGTAGGGTACAGTGCTGATATTTTTATGTTGTTCCTAACCTCTTTAGGAAGGAGTACATATGACAAACCTAGAGTTTTAGTTTTAAGTTTCAGAAATTCTTTTCAGTTTCTACTTGTTTCTAAACCCAGCCCTGTTTGTTGCAACAAAAAAATAGGTAAAATCAGAATAGTGAATGGGAAGACAAAAGAGTTCTGTTTTCTTTAAATTTTAATTTAATGATTCTCTTCTGCTTGAAGAGTTGTTGGGAAAAATTTTTGCTTTTTCTGTGTAGATGTGTATAACTCTCCTAGAGAGCAGTACTATTTTTCATTTACTTATTTTGTAATTATCAGAAAGGTATCTAATGGCATATTGCCTTTTTGAGTTTTGATTTTGGGGCAAGCCTTCACTGGGTAGCTATGATTCTTCTAACTAAATCAGGGTATTTGTGTTGTGTTATTACTTGGAGACTGAGTTTGTGCTTGTAAGTGTTCTTGAGAAAGCCCTTTCAACCTGTACAAGTGTTTTTATAGTGAAAAGGAGAAGTGATTTGTTCATTAAGTGATAGATAAACCACTGTAGTCATCAGGAGTAACACAGACCACAAACATAATGAGGGTATGTACAACTTGTAATTGTTACCACTGTGGACAAAGATATGCAAGTAGCTCACCTTATGATCTTACTGTTGCTGTTTGTAGGGAAGCAGGCATCCATCCTGCTTTGTCTTTTGTCCCTTAGTGAGATTTTGCTGATGTTGATACTGTAATTTGTTTCTAGAATTATCTTTCCATCTGAAAATACCAAGTAGAAATCTGTGTGACATTCTGTGCAGATAGAAAAATAAATGCAAGCTTGTAGTGGAGGGGAGGAAGGAGCACCCAAAAATAAAAAGAGTTGCTAACCTGCTAGTAATTACCTTTTCTTGCAAACCCTAACAATCCTGCTTTCTCTGGGTTTTCTGTACTTCTTGCACTAACTTCTAAGGTCAGGGCTACTTTTTCAGTGATACCTTAATTTTTAGAATTGGACAGGAGGAAAGATTTCTGGTTGGTGAATATAATACTTTGGAGTCTCATAACAAATTTCTTCTCTCTTAGTTGACTATACTAGTGTTGAACAGGAAAGTAGAACAGCTTAGATTTTTCTGGAAGGTGGTCAGTGGTTCAGTTTAAGCTTTCCAGATTTTTTTCTTTTTATGTTTCTTTCATATCCTGGCTAAAAATCCAGACTATGTAGTAATCAAAACTTTGAGTTGTTGCTATATAGTTGTCTACCTACTTTCATTTGGCTTGTTGCAAGTTTCTTCTTGCTCAGATTAATGGTGAGTGCTGGGTGACATTAAGGGCATGAATATTAGATTGATGTTTTAGGGATAGTGAGGGTGTATATCAAAATAGGATTAAATCACTGAGTGAGGAATGAACTGTGTATTTCTAGTGGAATTTATGACAGTAGAAACTAGAAGGACATCGTTTGTTCTGCTGATCATAGTTGTTTTAACTGTAAATGTAACATAGATTTATTTGAAAAGAAGTTGAATGAAGCTGTGAATCCCCACTGAGTTAAATTCACAAGTCCCCTCAAATGCAGTTCACTGCAGAAATAAAAAATGCATGTGTAATATGTAGCTATTTTTGTACTCTGCTTTGGGCTTAATATGTCAGCAAAGGGTCAAAGGAAAGCATATTTGATACAGTGTTTTACAGACCAGTATCTAGTACTAAATTTTCTTCCTGGATTATGCCCTAGGTTTGTAATAATGCAGTATTTTTTTCACTGAGGAAATAAATTATTTGTTAAATGTTTTGAGATCTGCAGGAGAAGCAGCACAATGGAAATGCTGGATGTTTATTGATTTCAATCCACGTTTATTTATAGAAGACAATTACTGTCATTTATTCAGAGTGTACTGAGAAGGGTTAACAACTAAGACTCTATCCTAAAAGGCAAGATCATTACTACTGTATCTGTGGAGTGTTTTCTTGGCATAAATCTTGCCCAGATGGGAAGAGAGAAGGGGAAGTGAGCCTGCCTTGTGTGACTGCACTCAGAGCAGCTGTGCGTGCATGCTGGCAAATGAGGACATGACCATCATTGGAAAAATGCCTCCGTTAACAGATGGCAGCGCAAAGCACTAGCAGTGGTTTAAATAGACTGCACCACATGTGTTTATTCAACTAATTTGAGGTGTGTGGTAATTTGCACCAAATACAGGGTGTTTCTGTATATAGCAATCCTGGGTTTTTGAATGAATTGAGTCTTTTGTCTCAGAGTTTTATAGAATAGAATAGTAGGGCCTGGGCTTTTCATTCCTTGTTCTTTCTTCTGTTTGGACGTCTTCACTGCTGGCATCTGTTGGCCCTTGAAGACACTTGCCACTGACTTGTCTGCAAAAGGCCTTGGTCTTTTATTGTTTTTGTCCAGCGTAGCCATCAAGGATTTGGTTAGACTTCATTAAAGAGAAGCTTTCTGGACTGCAAATATAGCCAGCAATTTTAAGAGGATCCACACTGCCCAGCGCTTGCTGTTGTTTAACCCACAAGGAGATTAAGTGACATATTGTCATACTTACTTTTCATTCTCTGCAAAGTGGGAATGGAACTTTGCCCTTGTGTAGTATTTTAATTAGGATTCCAAGTGGGAAAGGATCTGTTTTTCTGCAGAATGAATGCCAGGTTGAAGGACAGCCTGGGTAAAGGGCTGGCCAAGGCCTTGCCTCTGTGTCAATCTTAAGCTGCTGCTTTGCAGTGCTTGCTTATGTTCTCCCAATGTAAAAAACTCTGCAGTCTTGAGTAGAGCCTGTAAATCCTTCACTCAAGAATATTTTACAGCATAAGGACTAACATATTGTGAAAGAGGTCTTTTACAACTAGCTACTGTTTAAGTAGTTTAGCAACTTTTTTAAAGTGAAACTTGCACAATTGCACAAAACCAAGCTGAATAGAATTAAAACAAGCTTCCTTCATTAAAATTGAAAATGTACTTCAAGAATCTATACTGTTAAGAAAAAAAACGATTTTAAGCAATTATTAAAAAATCTTGTTTATCATAATTTTCTATATAGTGAGAAGAGAAAAGCTGGTATATTTATTGATGTCCTCTTGAATTAGTTTAAGTAATTATAAGTAAGATATTTGATTCTTAATGGGCTTTTTTCAGTTAGAAAAGGGTGAATGATGTTGTATTCACTGTAAGAAGTATTATGTTTCAATCTATTAGATAAAATGTGTGTCCATGCACATAATCGTTTGTGTGTTGGGTTTTGTGTGCTTGTGTATATTTTTGAGGGTTCAAAGGTGTTACCAATTTCCACATAAAAAATAGGAGTTGCCTCCTCTCAGTGTCATTAGAGGACTCAAACAGCAGATGATGGAAATGGGTGAGATGCTTTCTGTGCATAGTTTGGAAGGCAAATGTTGTCTTTCTTCTTTAATAGTGGATGAAGCAGTGTTAGATTAGCATCTAAGTACAAGGCCTCAGATAAGGCAGAGGAAGTTGTCATTACTGGGAAAAATAGGGAGCTGCTGCTTGCCTGTTTAATGTAGTGGTCAGTAATTGTTTTCTGAGAACATTTCTGCCAAATTACCCTCTTCAGACACAGCTGTTTTGAAGCTTTTATCAGGGTTTGATATGGATGCTTAAGGCTTTGAGTAGCTCGGCTGCATAGGCTGGTGCTGGATGTGGCCATGAGGCAGTGCTTGTGCAGATGCACCCTGTATGAGGGCTTAGACAGCAGTTTAAGATTGATTTTGAGGTTCTGGCAGCATTTGAATCCAAAGTTAGATCCCAAAGTGGCAGTTGAGCAAACTCTATTCAACCCTGAAGCTCATAACTTGACTGACTACTCAAACGCTTTTATGCAATTTGCAGAATCAGAGCGTTAAGCAAAAATTTTGTTTCATGTGATTTCTGTGCCCGCCCCACCCCGTTTGCATAATTGTGTGCTTCCTCTTGTATTGCCTAAACTTCCTTTTCTTCATGCTTTAGTCCTATTTTTGTCTGTGCAGCAGTTTGAAAGATGTTTTATTTTTTGGAACTAAAACTAACTTCTTAATTAGGATAATCAGGGTTTTTTCTTGCTACAAACTAAACACCCTAAAAGCCAAAGATAATATTAAAACTTCTGTAGTATGAATCACTTGAACATTCTTTCTGGGTGTCATTTTACCTAGCCAATTAAACCAGAGTGGAAGGACTCGCCTTATCACCTTTCTGATTTATGTTTTCTTCCCCCTCTCCCTTTTTGATGATATTTCAGGAAATTGTCACCAGCTTTCCATCAAGCACTACTGTCTTTCTGTCGGATGTCAGCAGACAGCCGTTTGGGATCAGAGGTATATTTCCAGTTGGCATAAACTAAAAGATCCTTCATTTTGCATGGCAGCAATAGTTAAACAAGCAATAATTGCTTTGAAACAAGACATGGAAAGATTAATCTATGTGCATGAAAGTTAAGAAATAAAGATATGTTTTCAGATTTTAAGCTAAATATGAAACCTAGTGATAGAGGTGTAATTACTGGGAACTTTTGAGTCTCTACAAGTGGATTCATGCTTTTGAAAGTACTGACACATCAAAAACTTACAGCTTAATGTATGGAAATAAATACTTTTCTGGTAAGTGATCAGTCTGCTGCAATTTTTATTATTCCTTTCAAATGGTGTTTTTCTGTTCCTGTGCTTCTGAAAAAAGCAAACAAGCAACTTGGTTTTCTAGGTATCTCGGATTGCAGACAGTGAGAAAAGCGTCATGTTAATGTTGGGACGCTGCCTGCCTCATATTGTTCCTAATGTGCTGCTTGCGAAACGAGAGGTGAGGAACCCTGAAATTTACATTTTATTTTCATCACGATATTTTGTTATCCATTTTGAAGATGAGGTGTCTAATTTCATGAAAGTCTATTACTTGCAATCATGTTCTTACTTTTGTGCATGCATCTCTGCTCCTAGAAAATGGTTTTACACCTCTGTCAGGTGAGTTCAGTAAACCTGCATAGTATCCTAATATTCCTTCCTCTGCTTAAGGCACCCATTAGCATTCAGCAAGACTGTTACTGTAGGTCCATCTGTTTGTGGTAGCACAAATGTTTTTGTAAGGGAAGACCATATCCATGTGCATTGTAAAAACAGGGTCTGTAACTTGAAACATTGTTTCATTTATTTCGTCTACCAGTTTAAATAAGGAATAAGTTTCAGATTCTTTTGCAGCACTATGTACTTAAACAAAAATAATTTTCAACAAACAAATTATTTTAATATCTTTTCTTGGAAGCTCCATGTACCAGCCAAGTGAAGGTTCATCAAAAATACCCCTTTATAAGAAAATGAGCACTCTTGCTTATGTTTTCCTTAACTTTAATATGAGAATGACTAAAAATTATGAAGATGTAATGTATATTTTAAATGTAACTGAAGGTGATGGTTTGCATAATAATTCATGCTATATAGCATACAAAAGGAAGGAAAAAAATGTGACTGGTTTTGTTCTGCTTTGTGTAAATATTGCACATTACCAAATATGTAAAGAAAACTCTAAAAACTGAAGAGATATGAAGGAAAAATTCAGTGTCCTTATGGTTGACACTGAAATAAAGGGTTTGAAGTAGCATATCTCATTGAGCAAGTTTAAGTCCTTGTTGACAGGACCTACAGTATGGTAGACTTAGTCGTGTGTTTTGCATAAATTCATTTTAAGGCTTTGAAAATTCCTCAAGAAATTTGTACTGATCCTGTAACCTGAAATTTTTCTACCATACAAGTAATTATCAGCAGCTGACATGGTGAACTTGAGATGTGTACTGTGTTTTGAAAATTCATAAAAGGCTTTTAATTTTTGAGGGGGTGGGGGTGTTAACTGAGTGCTCTGGAAATGCTTCTGTCTTTCACAATAATTCTGTGAATGGTCTTGGATCAGTGCTTAATTTCTGATTTCTTATTTATTCCTTTCCTTCCTTCTGCTTGGCAGGATGTGGTATTTTGGCTCCTTTTCACAGCTTTTAGCATAATCTGTGTAATGTGTTGAATATTTTCGTGACCTTTTAGTCTGTTTCCTATTTGATTCCTACTTAGGTTGTTTTACAATGGAAGTTACATTTGATTACATGTATTTTTGCCTTAAATTATCTGCTTTAGTTTAATTCAAAAAGCCACAAATGACAATTGAGTAATTGTATTACATGGGATGCTTAATGTTTCAATAATTGAAATTTGTTTTAAAAATGTCTTCTTTTAGTGACCTGCCACCTTTTGCTGTAACTGTTTTAATGTTCTTTCTGACATAATCGTGGAACTTGAAGGAAAAGTTGGGTAGATATCTGTCAGTATTTATCCTAATCAAATTATGGAAAGCTAACCTAAGAACTAGGATGTCTTCAACAAGGTATAACTTTGACTCTTGTCTGAAAACAACCTTATAATGAGACTTCTGCACAGAGAAGTGGTGTAAAAATATACCTAAAGATCACTAATTTGGGAGAGTTGTGTAACAGGTTCAGATCACAATGCAGAGTTCTCGCCAGTCTGCTCTGAAACAACAAGAGTGGAAGTATTTAAGATCTTACACTATCAGTGTATTAGGATGGGAGTTAAACATAATTTTTTGATGACTCCCTGAAATGTCTTTGTTCTGTAAGCATCCATCATGTTGAAATTGCTTGCATAATCTTAAGCTGAAAATTATATGCTGTGCATCTTCATTTCGGAGAAACTGAGTTTGCCGAGGCTGACGATCTCTCTGTAGTTGTTGTCCTTTACCAGAGATTCAGAAACCATTTTTCCTGTGCTTTTAAACATCTTAAGGTCAGTGGCAGCCTGCCTGATCCAGTAGTAAGTGTTCTGGCAAATATTATAGTTGACATTTCTGAAGTTATTTGTTTTTGTGTATTAGTGCAGCTTTAATTGTTCTTCGGTGTCTGTAATTTAGGTTCCAATGGAAGGCAACAAAGAAGGAAAGACACAGTATTGAGTAGGGTGGCTGAGGGGATAATCTTAATTGCTTCTAAAAAAAGCAGGTCAACTGTGTAAAATCAATAATGCATCATACAGGAAAATTGCCTCAAAGCAATTCATAATTGTCAAAATTCATGTAACAACATATAAATTTAATTTTATTTTCATCTCAGGCATCTAGGTTAACTTAACTTCCTGAAAACATGTACATCAAAATTTAGATTTGTATATGAATGCAATCACAAATAAAGGAGATGTTACAATCCAAGTAACAGTTAAGTAGAATGACCAGTAACAAAATGCTAAAAAGCAATACTTAAAAAAAAAACCCCGCAGTGTTTGGGGTACAGTCTGTGATAATACTTCTTGAAAATGAGCAGCTTGGGTTCGTAAAAATTTATCTAGGTTGGAATCTGCTTTCTCAATTGTCATTTTATCACTTACAATACATTAACAATCAAAAAATTGCAAAAGTAAAATCAGCCACCTTCTATTTATTAACAGATGTACCATAGAAAAACTCCTTTGGCTAAAATTTAATTAGAGAGAAGCAGTCCTTTAAAATTTTTGTAATAACTAATAAGTGCAATACTCATTTTTCACTTTCTAAGACGTGAAAGTCAATGGTTTTTTGTCAGGAAACAAGAGTAACCTTGTTTGTACGTACAACTTCCATATTCTGCAGTATAATGGAGTTTGGCCCTGAGTAAAGCTTTTGCTTGAGATCTTATTACTCTTGTTCTTAATCAGCACATTTATTTAATTATGTCTTTCATATCACCCATTGTTCCATTGCTTGTTTTTAACTTCTTTTGTGTTATGCAAACTTAGCAAAATCGTGATAGTGGTCTACTGAAATGCACCACTGAGTAGTTATACTGAGGAACTGTTATTTATAGAGAGTTCAACATGTTACGAATAGAGTTTTGCTTTTGTTTGTAAAGTTGAAGCAAAGGTAGTGTTAAGTCTTGAGACTCTGGATTGATGCCATTCTCAACTACACTAGATCTCCACTGTAGACTGAAAGTAATCACATTAATGTGTGGTAACTGCACATAAGTATCACCAAGGCACTTCAATTCTCCTACAAGTCTCTTAAAACACAGTAGAGTTGAGTATCTTGCCATAAATTTTCATCTCACTCTTATGCTTTAAAGGCCATAAAATACTGGCTTTGCTAAAGAAATGCAAAAGAAGACTGCCAGATCTTGGCAGTATACTTAATTGTTTGCTTCCAGGGGTTATATCTAGCAGATTTCATCATGGTTGGATATGGATAAAGGTGCATAGACCTGAGTTGCTGGGCATGAAAATTGTCAGTTGTCAATATCTTCTAGATGACCACTGTAATTTCCCGTTACAGGGGGAGAATAAAGAAATCTAAATGAACAATTGCAATACTTTGTTACTCTGTAAAACTTAGATTGCAGTAGGCTTCTATAGATTATGTTTCTAAAAAACAGGGGTAGTATTGACCACAGCCTGTTTGCTGGTCGTTTTCTAGTGTATGTGCAGTGCTGGTTTTGGCTTGCAGGTCTGTTTTGTTTGGCAGGGAGGAAGGGTGCACATGAGACATAACCATTTTTTAAGTCCCTTTGTTCCCTTCTCCTCGATAGGAGGGCCTAGTGCAGTTTCCTTAGAGTAAAATAACTCAGTCTCATAGAGAATCCTTTTCATCTCTAGTCTGAAAGCCCATGTCTTTCAACACTTGGTAAAGCTTAGACAGTTCATGGATGCACGGAGTTAAATTTGATGTTTATGCAAGGAGTTTTATTTGATGTTAGCTTTTGTTATATCATAAACTTTTGTATGTGTGTTTTCAAATAAACAGTAGATACAGACAAAGTACAAAGTTTTTTCACACCCACACCCTATCATTGATTCTTATGTAAAAGCATCCCTTTGAGATCTCTGAGAGGCTTACTTTGGATCCTGGAATAATAGTCTCACCCTGTAAGAGGTAATTAGAGCTGTGATTTTAATATTGGTAAGATTAGTAGCACAAAGTTTTGAGTCATGCGTTAATCCTATGATTAAACTTTTTTCATTTTGAGACTAAAAGAATTAATTTGGAACTTTAAATACATTCTTGCCCAAGACAGTCCCTATCAGTGCATGTTGGTACCTGCAGCTATTTCAGTTGCAGACAATAAGATTATTTCATTTTCTTTACTTGTTGGCAGAGGCTAAGTTACAGAATAATTTTAACAGAGTATTGGTTCACAATATAAGCACTGACTATTAAAGAAGATTAAAAGGCACACACTAACAAAATTGATCATGTCATACTGGTTTATATATTGTTGCCTGCAATATTAATACATTCATATTTGGAGTAACAAAAATATTATTTGAACCTACTGAAGTAACCAGTCTTGACACTTAGCATTAATTACATGTATTCTTTGAGATAATTATTTTGCTTATGAACACTCCAACAATAAGACAGTAATTAGTGAGAGCAGTAACATGCAGAAGACTTGTTGGAATGTTTAGCAAAACATTGTTATAACAATGGAAACAACACTGACAGAAAATTCCTTGCTACCTTCTGAGATGCTCAGTATATGATGCACTTTAAAAAACCCCAAAGTTTAATATTTTGTTGTAGTACTTACCATATGTAGAAGTATAGTTGCCTAGTATAGGAGTATAGTATGCCTACATGTAGGCATATAGTTTAGATGGTACTAATTACTATTAAAAAGCCATGTTCTTTTGACCATAATGAAGAGAGAGCTACTCCGTATGTCCATGTAAATGTTGCCTTTATTGATAACTTAACGCAAATAGTGAATCCCTTTCAAAGATAATGGAAGAAGTTGTTCTAAGTTAGGAAGTTGTCCAGAGATACTATGGTGAGAAAAATATGAGTTTTTCCTTGGAAAGACCTACATGGAGAGTTACACAGAAGTAGAGCAGAGGGAAGATGGGCTGTTTCAGTTCTCCTGTGCAATGTGTTAGATCAGTCTCAGAGCACTGACTGTCAGTCACCTGTATGTAGCTTCTCTCACAGTAAAAGCAAAATACCTTTGCTCTTCATTCTGCATCTGAGTAGCTCACAGGTATAAACTGCCTCAGATTGGAATTCGGCTTTTCAATAGTAGAGGTGGGACCTATGACACATAATGTTTTATTGCATTGAGCTGCAAGTGCTGACAATGTTATGATGTCAGTCTGCTTGGAATCTAATGGGAAAACAGTATCAAAGCTCTGGAAGTCACTCTTCTTGCTATGGTCATGAGTCACTAGTCACCCCTGTTGGCTAACACCAACACGAACTATCAAAACTCATGTTCTGAACTCAAAGGCAATAGAGAAAAGAAGTACTTGGGGATGAACAGAATGTTTAGCAAAGTTCCCAAATTAAATAGAGGGAAAGTTGTTGGGTTTTTTTTGAAACTTAAGTTCTTGCTTTATGACTGTCAGCACAAGTGGTATTCCTTCCCGAGGAATGCAGAGTGTTTCAAATAGCACTGGAAGTCCACTCCTTGATTATTAATAATTAGACAGAGTCTCTACAACCACATTGTGAACTTGTCTCTTGAATCTAAACAGCCAAATACTAATCTTACCATGTTTTATTGGAAAATTGCTACTTTCTATAGCTTCTCTGCTGGCTTAAAGAATGAAAAATCTGAGATTTGTAATACAAATCTACATCAAAGGCATGACCCTTAGCAACAGGAAAAAATGAGCTCAGACCTACCTGTAGGTTGGTTTTTGTTCTTAATGCTCTTGACTGTCCTTAGAAGAATCTGCCCCTTATAAGTCCTTGGGAGACTTCACTTGACCTGTTTCGTCCCTCTATAGAGCAATTTTGTTCTTCTGGTCCCACAGTCCCCTTTGCTTCCAGTTTTACCTTCCTGTCCCTGAGGACTTCAGGGAGCACAGAAAACACTGTTTGAGACTTCTCACTGTTTCTCCACTCCCGTTGATAGAAGGAACTGTAGAAGCCCTGATGCAGCGATGCAGAGAACACTCTCTTCTCCCATAGTATGCATGAGAGAATGTGACCCATGGACGAGAAAATACAGCTATTTCCGTCAGCTATAATAACCAGCTTTCTACAAGGTAAAGAACCAGCCTTGTATCTGCCCATGTCCTTGCTGTTAGGTTACTCATTAGCCTTTCAGACTCAAGGCAGCAGTTTCTAAGTGAATATTCTCAGGTGTTGTCCTTTCACACAGACTCGGCTGAAAAAAGACAATGTTAACTTCCTTAAGTTCCATAAGAGGATTAAAAAACCCCCACCTCATGGTACTACTTTAAAATCTAGCAGTAGTTCTGAGTAAGCAGTTGAGATTTTTGAGTAGGTACTCAAACATACTAAGGAAGTGAAATCAATGTGTTGGTTTCAACAGATGAAAAAAAAAATTCCATAAATGTCCCATTTCATGGAGTGTATTCTTTGTAAAGTTTTTCATAGGAGTATTTAAGAATACTTGCAAGAGCAGTTGAATAATGTGAATTTAGAGTAGATTTCAGAAAGTTAGATTTCACTAAATAACAAATGTTTAATTAGCTTTAAGTTTTTAAATGAGCTTCATTTTTTATGGTAGTAGTTATGTTCTTTACCTACAAATTCCAATCAGATTTCCTATTTAAAAGATTTGAGTTTAATGTGTAAGTAGTGGTGTTGAGGCAGGTATTATTTTAGTAATATTCTTTCAAGTATTTTTGAATTAAAGCAGCATTTGCAGGAGAGAAAATTCTATGCAGTCCAAAAAAAAACTTAAATAGGTTAAACCCACTGCCTTCTCATAACTTTAAATGGGCAAAAATCTTAAGTAACCAAAAATAATGAGAAGTAATGTGCAGATTCTAGAGGAAAAGAAGCTCTCTGCTGAAGAAAGTTATTTAGTTCTTCATGCAATTTAATTTTGTAAAGTTTCTTTAATGGAGGCCTTCAGTTCATGTCATTTTGTGTTGTGCTACACTTATTGTAAAACAATCCCAGCTACTCTTAAAAGTATTTAAGAAGTGGAAATGTTCCAAGTATTCAATTCTATTTTTCATTTCTCCTTTTCTCCTTTTAGATTTTTTTAAGTGATAGGTAGGATATTTCCGTGTTGTCTCTTCTGTCATAAATTCCCTAATCTGTATCATAATTGAGTTAAATATTGCCAGTGTATCTTCCAGAATCATAGACTGTTAAAATACAGTTCAGGTTGTGTCTTGGTCATGTTTGGACATGGAAAATAGTGCATTAAGTAGAATTCTTTTAAATGAAAAATAAAAAAAGGCTTGTCAGGAGTTGACTAGCTTAGGCACTGCTCTAAAAGGGAGTCTTGTTCTATGTTTAGTATAAATAGGGCTCCTGCTGTTTAGGAAAACACAAGAACATCATGATTAGACCTCTTTGTCTGCTAGAAGAAATTTGCACCTCCCTGCAAAGTCATTCTAAACAACCACAGATTTTCCAGGTTTTATATAATTTCTCCCACTAACATTAGGTGTGTTTCCCACTGTCACCTGCTTATTTGTCACAACTTAATAATTCACCAAAGTATTTCTGCTGAAAATTACTCCAAAGTACGCAGCAGGTGTGCAAGGTAATCTCCAGATTACTTGCCCATGTTTTTTTCCAGACACTGAAGTTTTTCTTGTTCTTTTTTTCCTGACCTCCCAGTGTGATATTTCTGTCCCTAAGATATTAAATCACTTAAAAACTGTCCGGCTTCCAAATTCAGTTGGAGTAAAAGCTCACATCAGCAAGGTCAAGGGAAGGGACTTCCAGACAATGTTTTAGAAACATTTGTTTCTTCTGGGAATGAATACCATGAGCTTTGTAGGCATATTTAGAAAGGAGGAGGCTTTCACTATTAAGATCTTTATATTTTCTCTCCATGTTTTACATAGTATTTCCTTTGTAATTTGTTCTTTTAAGGGATTTTAATTGCTCCAAAAAGAAAATTCAGCTTCAGAGATCGTTTTTGTATGGAAAAAAAAAATCATAGAACCTTTGCAAAAATCAGATAATTGTCAGTCAACACGAAATCTGTCTGCAGTCACCTTTACCAATGCATGTTTCTCAATGTTTATTTTTTCAAACTTGTGCACAAAACTGTGTGGATGTTTAATTGGAAATTTTAATCTTTAACTCCGTGGCATTTTTTCATAGGAACTTTATTCCATAGTTAGCTGTGGAGCTTCAGTTCAGTAGGTAGTGAAAACAATTGAAACCATGATTGTCCTCTAATTCGGGTTACAGGTGACCTGCATATGTTAATTGTCATCTTTGCAGAGCTTTTCATTTTATGTGCTGATTCTCCCCTGATTTTTCCTAGCAGGAAAATAATTCTAACTTTTGTAGACCTTCACTTTTCTCAAGTCACTTAATAAGCCATCACGACTCCAAAGTATCTTTTCTATTTGTTTTGATGTTATGTGATTTTAGATTTATCTTCTTAGTTTATTTTGCAGTAAATGAATGTATGCCCAAAGCAATTTTACTTTGTTTGATTTTCCCCTACCCACAACTTTTTTAGGAATTGATCCCACTCATACTGTGTACAGCCTGCCTCCATCCTGAACCAAAAGAGAGAGATCAGCTTCTGCACATACTGTTCAATTTGATCAAACGACCAGACGATGAGCAAAGGTGTGTTTGCACTTGTGTGATATGGGACAAGCAGGAAGTTTTTTCTCTGTGCAAGCAGCAGTACTAGTAAAAAGTGGATATTATTGGGTGGTATTAAACAAATTTTGTTTAAGCTGGTGTTTTGCTTATGTAGTGTTGACAAATTTATGCCAAGTTCAGGACTTTCCATTTCCATGACCTGTACTTCCAGTTACTGAAATGTAAGAATGTGCTTGTAAGCTACAGTGTAATTTCAGTTCCTTTTTCTGTTTAAAGATGAATTTAAGCTGTTTGTTAAAATGATCTTTAGTGTCATCATTCTTAGCACTGATTGATGTCAAAATCAAAACAGCTTTTTTTTTTTTTTAAAACCTGTCTTAGTGATCTACATGTTTGTTCAGATGACTACCACATTTCTTTAGGGAAAATAGTGCTCTTTCTACATATGGCTCATTACTATGGTAGCAATAAAAAAATCAGAAGAATGTAGCAGTGATGTAGGTCTGACAAAGTGTTAAGGACTTTGTTTCATTTTGGTTAAGCTTCTGAAACAAATTACACCTTTTGTTCTATAAATTTAATTCTTCAGTAGTGCTCAGGAAATGTGACTTTGTACTGATCTTGATGAGAATATCCTTAAGGTTGAAAGACAGTACCCAAGCTGGTATGGTTCCTTCTCTTAGCTGTGGAACAACTTTTATTGTTTGATCTGTAGCTCTTCCATTATTTTCATTAGAGATGTTTTGGAAAGCATCTGTATCTATTGTTGCTCTAGGCTGTCTTCAGACAAAATAGGCTTTGTGAAATAGGTAGAAAGCATTTCTTTTGGAGACTCTCCAACCTGAAGTGTTCAGGCATCTTTCTAAACTGTTCCCATGGTAAAATTTAGAGATTAGGTGTAACTGAAAGCCATGGCTTTGGAGACCAAAAAAAAAAAAAGCTTAAATAAGCAAAAGCTACTTGTAGCATAGTGGCACCATGTAGATTGAAATTACAAAAATATGCAGTCTTGGTTCTACTTCAGAGTCATTAGAAAACTGCTTCTGAAATGTTTTGAATGTCCCAGTGGATTGAGAAGCTAAAATAATCTGTGGTTGAAGGGGAAGGAATTTGCATGTCACTTGTAGTCTCTTATGATTAATTTGTTAAAGAATTGGTGGCCTGTCAAGTAGACTTTTCATATCCCCCTATAGGTGTATTAGGTGTGTCTTTTCCAGCAGTTAAGAATAAACAAAAAACTTTTTCCTGGAATTTGTTCAATTTTTGTTGCAAATTAGAGATTCATATATAAAAATAACTTGTTTCCATGAGAAATCTGGGAAGAATAGTCTGCCATAAACTCTAGGACAAAGCATGCATATACATTATATACATCTGCACACGTAGAAATAATAATTGCTTTTAAAGGTGCCATAACCTGATGGAAAACCAGTCAAGATTCCATGAAATAAAAGAGATTCTGAATAGTAATTAAATAGAACATACTTTTTTGGAATTTCAGGGGGGTTACATTTATGGATTTGTATGGAAGCATATTATGCATGCTTTGTTTTTATCTAAATACATTTAAATAATATTTTAGCAGTCTTATGCAATATGAAGTGAGCAGAGACATTCAGATTTAGTCACCAGAAGATGATGTTCACTATCTCTTGTTACTTATTTATCTTCTGCTGTACTGCACAGGCCTACTATATTGTACCTTGATGCAGCAGCTGATTAGTTGACATTTTTAATTTGCTAAATGCGAGACACTGAAGTGTGACATTGCATTTCTAAGAATGAACCCGTTAGAAGAAGTATTTTGTTTTACAATGTCAAATATCTGAAGTATGTTGACAATTATGCAGAAAGCCTGGATTATAACTGTTGCCCATGGGAGATGCATTTTGGTGCTTGGCATATTTCTGTGGTCTCGTACACTTACATAATATGTAACAAGGCCACTTTTATCCTCATGGCTTTGCTCATTAATGTCCCATTCAACTTTTAAAAATGCCTATTAAATTCTATTCTGCAAAGGAGCAAAAATATATTCACATAACCTCCTTTTTTGTACAATTATGTTAGTTTTGGAGGCTAGGAGTCATGAAGAAGTGGGATTAATGTTTGGCTGTAATTGGACTAAGATTAAAACATTGCTTCAGTCACCTCTTATTCAGATCCTTACAACTTTCCTTTCCCTGACATGCTGACTGATATAATATGCTGTTAAAATGATTGCAGTAAAATATTTAAAACCTTATTTTAAAATGTTTTTGAAATATCTTCAAATTCTCATCTTGGTAGGCAGGGCAAAAAGAAATCTGACTTAATTTTGAGGTTTCATGGAACTTTTTAGAAAAGATTTGATGTAAGAAAAAATATTTTATCCCATTTAGAATGGAGAAAAATTCATGTGATTACTGTGTTCTGCTGTTTCCTAAGGTCTTAAAATATATATTCTCTTGCCCAGTTGTGTGATTAGGTGCAGTGTATAGAACCAAAGACAGTAATTCAAATGCCTGGTTTGTTTGCAGTAGAACTGACAATCACCACAGGCTTTTGTCTCCGTATTGCTGTCAGCTGTTGATTTCTTGAGTCTTATCTAATAATTTTTGTTTTCTCCCTACTTATTACCTTAATCAAAGGCCTAGTTCTCCGATTGTGGTAGAGAGGTAAAAAACCCAAACACAACACAGAAGAGCTTGGTCTGATTGTTGGCGTAAAGAATGCTGGGATAAAAAAAAAAACTTTTTTTGATAGGATCTTTCTCCTAAAAAATTCTTAAAGTGAATGAGTCTTTTTTTGATGGAGTATATTCTCTAAGGGGTTGAAAGATAACCAGCAAAATCTCTGCCTTTCAACCTTAAGGGGATGCTATTGCTACGGAAAATATTTAGGAGTCTAGACATGACACTAAAATAGTAACAAATTAATTCTGGCTTAAATTTTACAGAGAAATAATAATAAACTCTGTGTGGTGTCCTGATCTTACTAAGGAGATGATAAAATTGAGTCTCATGTGCACACATTATCATTTGAAACTGGGTATTTAATAATTCATGTAGGCTACAAAGGTAAATAGAATTGGTGAATTGCATGCAAAGTTGGTACTATTCCAATCTGATCAACAGGAAAAATAGAAGTAAACATATCTTAGCAAGATAGACACTCATTAAATAAAATACCACAAATGACAATTTAGTACATAGTCTTACTGAAATTTTATATATACCTCTGTGCCTATAAAATTGATGGAACAGTGGCAATTACTTGCAAACTTTAATGAAAAGTATAAAAGTAAAAGAATACGAATAACAGGTGATCATAGATCCTACTGGTTGATTACCTGCTTTCATTTTTTAGTGGGCTTTAGAAGATTTCTCACAAGAGTGAAGTTCCATGTTTTGTGTGAGATGACAGTAACTTGCATGTCAGAATGTTGCAAAACTATGTCATAAAAGAAATAAGCTGCTTGCTCTGAAGAAAGTTCATTAAATCTCACAAATGCTTCTAAATAAACTCAATTTACTTTGGTGAAATACTGATGGTATGATAGTAATAGGTAATTTAGATCCCTTTACTGCATAATAGTATTCTCTACTAAGAATTAAATGAGGGATTTAGTCAGAGACTCCCAATCTCAGACTTGAGGAAATCAGATATACTCAAATCAGAGATTCTCAGACTGGTTTATGGAGTTGAGGATCTGCAAGATTTTGGAAAAGGCATTCTGAATATAAAACAGAGTAAAGTCAGAGAATAGTTTGGGTTGAAAGGGATGTTTGAAGGTCATGTAAGCAAATCGCCACCCTGCAATGACGGGGGTATCAGTGGCTTTCTATTTAATATTTAGTTTTTAAGTCAGTGTGGGTGGTGTGAAATCTTGACTGCAGACAACTACCTATCGCCTGTCAGCATGCACTTTTCCTAACTTAAGGAATGTATATTGTATATTATACAACTTTATAAACAGGTTAAAGCTTTAAATTTATCTTTTCAGACAGATGATACTGACTGGGTGCGTGGCATTTGCCCGACATGTTGGACCAACACGTGTAGAAGCTGAACTTTTACCACAGTGTTGGGAGCAGGTAACTGATTAGTGTTTGCTTTATGCTCCAAAATCAGTTAAAACTTCATAAAATTGAGTTTTACTTGTTCAAGGGGGAGGTTTTGGGTTGGGTTTTCAGAAAGATATTTGAATGTTCTTTGTTCTCATCATATGTATTTTTATCTAACATTAAAAACACCTCAGAAGCAGAAAGCTTATTAAAGACCATCTGGAGAGATTTTAGTTACCTGCTTGTACTTGAATAAGCTTGTTATATTGAAGTGTAGATAAGCACAGATTCATCATCAGTGTCGTGTAACATACTGCTAGGTAGGTACCAGCCTGTTGGAAATCCATTTTCATTCAAAGATTTTATTTGCTGATTTTTTTTAATGTTGTATTAAGTCCCTGGAGCAGTGTCCACACCAGCTAGTTTAAATTCTTAAACAGAAAATCAAAGACCAAAGTACTCATAAGCAAGTCTCTCATAGTGATCTTTTTTTACAGATACTCCAAATTAATAGAAATAACTGAACAACCAAATGGAAATGTTTTTTACTGTTTCATCTGAAGCATAGAACCAGAATAACATGAGTTCAGGTGAAAATCTGTTGTATTTTCCTACCACTTGAAGGAAAGGGAGTTCATCATTGCCTAAAAGACAATGAATAACTAAGCCATGACGGAGTGGGAATGCCTGCTTTGATGGCAGAGTCTTTCTGGTCTGGTAGTTTTCTACTGTTCCTTGCATAACACAGCAATCTGTGTTTCCCAATACAGTCTAAGCTTTAATAGCCTTAATGCTTTCTGACAGTAGAAGTACGAATTATATGCAGCATTTGTGCTTGTTGTGAATGACTGATGTATCTGGCGATTAAGTGAAGGTCTCATGACATAGTTTGAAAGGAGCCATACAAAGAATTCTGTATTTTTGCCTAATTTTGTAATCAACATTTTGTTTTCTTAGTCCTCATGAAATTTTAACTGTGCTTGAAAAGAACTATCTCACCTCAGTAAGAGCACATTTTTCTCATCCACTTCTTGCTAATTGCTGATGCAAAAGAGAAACGAGTCCCACTGTACAAGTACAGCATATCAGACTGCCAAGTCGTATGGCATAGTGCACTTACCTAAGGCAGTCTGCCCGACTTTGTTTGGCAGTACTGGAACCAGGTCATTATTTTCTCCACTGAAATACCAGCTGAATCTTACTGTCACAAGTCTTGAATTTGTAGAAGAAACTTTAGTATAGACATGATTTTCTACTTTTTACAGTGGATGTGTAAAATCATGAAAAATATTCATGCTCTTGGTCTCTAACCAAAATCTGTTTACAGATGCAAAGGACTGGACCCTTAGGAAATTCATCCTTTTCATTGATACATTGTGGAGCTCAGTTATCAGGCTAGACTTTTTAATCACTCTACCTGCTCTTTTGCAGTTAAAATTTGATAACTGACTCAGTTTAGTTGAAGGCTCTGTGAATGCTAAAAGGGTCACTCAAAACTAGTGACCAGTTGTTGGCTTCCAAAATTGGAATACTGCTTACTAAAGACAAAAGGAAAACAAATCATAATAAACATTTTAGTTACATTTCGTTTCCAAGGGCTACTCATCTTCTGTGAACACAAACCTGGGAGAAATTTCAGTCTTTTTTCCTCCAGTATGTCTTTGCAATATCGGGGTGATATTTATATTGCCATGCCAGACCACCTAAAACCAGCTGAAATTAGTCATTGCTGTTTCCCACAGGTAGGCAGAGGTCCAGAAGATGTGTGTCTCTGCTCCCAGTGGGGAATTTGCATTTGAAAAGATGGCACATAAGTAAAAGATATTACAGAATAATAAAGAAGTTAGGGTTGGAAGGGACCTTAAAGACCATTAGCTCCAAGCCCCATCCAACCTGGCCTTGAAAACTTCCTGGGCATCCACAGCTTCTCTGGGCAGCTTGTTCCAGTACCTCACCACCTTTACACCTAGTAGGTTTTAAAGCAGCCTCTGACTTGTCCATAATATTTTTCATCTGTGAAATCTCCATACTTCCAAAAATTATTGCAGGTGCTCTACTGATGAATGAATGCAAAATAATTATAGACACACTCAAAGAATGTTCTCATGCTTGAGACTTCAGTGTTTAGTCCTGAAGCTGTTAATTTAAGTCTCTTTGAAATACCTTTTCCACACTTGATTCTTGAGAGAGTTCTCAGTAATTTCATACCAGAGCAGTCAGAGTCAGGCATCATGGTTGAATGTGCTAAGCCAGTCATCTCAGAAAGTTGTCAGGTTGGTTGTGTCATTTTTTCTATGTAAATATGTGCTGGCTATTTCCAGCGACCTTCAGATGTTTGGAAATGCTTTGTAAGGCTGATTGCTCCAACACCTTCTCAGGAGCTGGTGTGAGGCAGACTGGCCTGTGTTTTACTAGCCTGTCTTATCCTTCCTGAGGGTAGCAGTGACATTTGCTGTCTTCCAGTCCTCGAGAACTTCCCCCATTGCCACAACATTTTGTTAGTTGTCAAGAGTGTTCTTTGAATGCCATCAGCCACATCCCTGAGCACCCATTGGTACATCCCCATCAGGGCCCACAGACTAGTGTATGTCCAATTTCTTCAGATATTTCCTGGCCTGCTAGTTTCTGCCCAAGGTCCTCCTGGTGCCAGAATTTGACATGGATTTTAGGGACCTCAGAGTACTGAAGGCAAGTCTTTCAAGATAGAGACAAAGTCAGTGAGTACTTTGGTCTTTTTTCATGGTGAGATGGCTGCCTCACCAAAGCTATACACTACATAGAAAGAAAGAAACAATTGCACCAAATGCTGCATATCCTATTTTATCTGACAGCATCAAAAAATTCACATTTTACTCTCAGTGTGGTACCATAGAAGTTTTTATTCACAGAGTTTTGAAACACTTCATTGTTTCACTGTACAACCATTACATGGACCACTAAATCTGGCTCCACCAGAATGTGCACTTGATTCCAAAGTGTCAATAATAAATAATAAATTTGTAAGGCAGAATTTTCAAGCAACTTTTGAGTAGAAAGGGGAACTATCACAGGATCAAGAGATTCTTGGTAATAGGAATTGTTTTTAGAGGTGTGACATATTTATGCTGGATTTGAGAGCAGAACTTGAATAGAATGCAAATGTGCGTGTCTTCTTTTGACTGATTGCTCAGCAAGACCTGTGCAGCAGCTCTGCTGCACTGCTTGGCTCAGAGCACTAGAGGGCACTTGTGCAGCTCCTGGAGGAACAGTGCCCCTGAAAGGCTTCATAAGACAAAATATTTCATGTCATGCCAGTTCAGGAGTTATGCAGATTCTTTAGAGTACAGCAGCCCATCCGCTGCTTTCCTTTTTATTCCGTATATGCACATGCTTCTCATAAACGTATGTGCTTCTCTGACTCTTTCCCTACTATAAGCTATGTCTTAGAGGATAGCTGCCTCATTTTTATGCCTCAGTGCAAGAATTTGAGCTGCTTAGTACCCAGGTGCAACTTCTGTGAGCTCAATCAGTGTTTCTTGAAGAGGTGCAGACACACCCCTCTAACAGGGTGTGCACCCCTCTGCAGTTCATTCTAACCACATTTTGAATGCTGGTTACTGCAAAGCAAATAGTCCATCTGTTTCTCTTTACCAGATCAACCACAAGTACCCAGAGCGACGGCTACTGGTAGCAGAATCCTGCGGAGCTCTAGCACCTTACCTTCCAGTAAGTATTAATAGACTCCAAATACCTGCTGGGGAAAGCAAGGGAAAAATCTGATGCATAATGTAAGCATCCTATATAATTTTAAATATTACCAAGTGTGTATGTTATGCATAGACAGTCACATTGTCTTCTACGCTATCACACATGAGATTCATAAGTCACTTTAAGAAGGAGAGAGTTTGTTATGAAGAAATACAGGTTACTCTAACTATAAAATGTTTCTAAAAATAATATGAATATTCATGTCAGTAAAAATGAGGCAAAGAAGAGATAGTTAGGACCAATTAAGGAAACAATCTATGAAAAAGGAATTGGCACCCATCTGTAGTGTTCTTCAGACACTGTGGAATGTTACATCAAGAGTGCTGCCAGTTAGAAGAAACAGTGAAATTATGTCAGTGGTAAACTAGAATTTGAAGCTTCAGAGAAAGGGTGGGGGAACTTTTTTAAATTAAAACCCAGTTTCTCCAATTTAGTGATTAAAGTCTAGGCCTATAATAGTTTTACTGCTGTTAGTTATTTTTGGTTCCATGTGAATGAAAGGACCTTAGTTCTGTGCTTACTAGGACAAAAGTCTCTCTAATGAAGCTACTGACATTTTCTATTCATTCAACTTCTATTGTGAAAGCAGAACATGTAAGATTCATAAAGGACTTTATGGTTGGAGGAAGGGATTTTGTTTGGGAGTACTAATAGAAGTGGAAACTTTTTATTACAGTTGATACAAACCTGCATTTCTTGTTTCATTTGCTTTAACAAATGTGTTTCTCATTTACAAACAGAAAGAAATTCGTAGTTCATTAGTACTTTCTATGCTGCAACAAATGCTAATGGAAGATAAGGCAGATCTGGTACGAGAAGCTGTGATCAAAAGCCTTGGCATCATTATGGGCTATATTGATGATCCAGATAAATATCAACAGGTATCATTTGGTTTGGGTTCTGGATGTATAAAATGCTTTCTGTAGCTATTTCATAAATAATGAAAGAGGTTGTATAATAATAGAGAGTTGTTTAAATTCCTGTGTTTTTATTAATTCTTTTGAGATACTTTTAAAAATTGAATATTTATATGTATGTTGATTTTACTATATCACCAAGACAAAACAGAAAAACTACAAGTAGCCTTCGAATTTCAGGTGTAAGCCTTATGCAGAAGCTGCTCTAACAGTTCATAATTTGCCTTTAAGAACATACCACTTCACTGCCCCTCTGATATTATTAGCCAGTTTGGCATCATCCCTTACTAACACAGATTCATTTGCTACAACAGAGCCTACCTATAGTTCAGCTTAGTGCTGCCCAGTAGTGTTTCACATAAGTGAAAATAAAGAACTTTTCTCTTTGAGTTTTTGAAGGCAGAGTGGTAAAATGTGTGTGGTAAAATGTCAGTTTTTGGGAAATAATTGCATTCTTTACTGTCTTTTATCAGGGTTTTGAACTGCTGCTTTCAGCTTTAGGAGACCCTTCAGAACGTGTGGTTAGTGCAACACATCAGGTATTTTTGCCTGCTTATGCTGCCTGGACAACAGAACTGGGAAATTTACAGTTCCATCTTATACCTACACTGCTTAATAAAATTGAAAAATTGCTCAGGGTATGTACTCAGCTGTTTCTACACTGGAGAATTTTCTTTGTGTTCTTCACTTGTACTTGGAAGAAGGAAAAAAAAAAAAACCCCAGAAAAAACACCAAACCTCCCCCAAACTAAACATACTCTTCTTTAATACTGTTCTGTTTTATATCCTAATAGCATTGTCCCATGTCTAAATTGTGTAGAATTTGGTAAACTGCACTTTTTATTAAATAAGCAAGAAAAGTAGATTTGAATGGTTAAGTTAGGCCATTTCCAGTTATGATCCAGTTTGCACATTTCATTTGATAAATATCTCAGAAGTTCTGGAAAAATTGTATGCCTCATAACTGTCTAACACAATGAAAGAAGATGCTTGCCTTCAGGGTACAGATGACTTGTTTATTCAGTTTAGATGCCTTCATCTCTGAGGCAAAGGATCCACATTTCCAAAACGTGCTGAAAAATGTTCTTTCAAAATATCAGTCTGTTCATCAGCATGAACTGCTCAATGCCAAAGGCTATATTGCCTGGATCTTTTTAGTAGAGGTGACCTGAGAGTGGCAAAATATGCTTATGATTAGGCTAAATTCCTTTATAATTGGTGTGTCTGGGTAGAAGTTCATCACAGATGTGTTGATGCCTTGCCAGGGAATACATGCCTAAGGAACAGATCTTCCAAACTGAAAACTTCCAAATTAATGTCCTGTTTGTTTCAGGAAGGAGAACATGGCTTGGATGAACATAAGCTCCACATGTATTTGTCCGCCCTGCAGTCATTGATTCCTTCACTGTTTGCACTGGTGCTACAGAATGCACCTTTTACAAGCAAGGCTAAACTTCAGGGAGAAGTACCACAAATAGAAGGTAAATTATTCTTTCTGTTACGTCATTTTTTTATATTGGTCTGCCTTAGTAAATTCTTAAGTAATGCTTCCCTTTTTCACCTCTTGCTGTGCTTGAAATACCTGATTTTCACAAAAAATTTTCATCTATTTTTCTCTACTTCTTATAAGAAGATTTTAGAAAGCAAGGCATTTTTTAATTGTACTTCCTAAAGGTTTCTAAAGAACTGATTTCCATTAATAGCCAATAATAGCTCAGGAAGGCTGACCTCAGATTCAGTTAATCCTTACAAATTTATGGAGTGGGGAAAAACACAGCATAATGCAGCAGCATCACCAGCTGTTATCTATTTGTGTAATATCCTAGAAGATCATCCCATCCCTGAAGTGTTCAAGGGCCAGGTTTGGTGGAGTTTTGAGCAACCTGGTCTAGTGGAAAGCGTCCTGCCCATGGTAGTAGGGTTGGAACTACGTGATCTTTAAGGTGCATTCCAGCCCAAACCATTCTGTGACTGAATGGCCTGATGGTGAAATTGTCCTTAGATCAGCAAACCTAGCTTGTGGAGTGTTTTCTACTGTTGCAAATACTTTAAAGATGTTATTGGTAGCACCTGCCACATGCTGATAGTAGTGCTGTGTGTGAAGATGCAAAGGGAGGGTAACAAAGGAGAATTTGGAAAATAGCTAGTGGTACATTACTGTCTGATACTCCTTTGAAAATGGATACCATGGTAAGGCTCATCTATCTGACTCAAGTCATTTGAAGATGAGCACTTTCTCACTGAGTGGTTACTACTTAAATAACAAATTCAAAAATTTCAGGTTTCAGCCTAGTCTTCTACATGCTGAACAAGCACAGCTCTTTCAGCCTTTCTGCGTAGGAAAGGTGCTCTATCTTTCTGTTCACACTTTTGTAGCCATCCTTGGGGCTTGCTCCAGCAGGTCCATGTCTTTCCTGTGCTGGGGACCCCAGAGCTGGATGCAGCAGTCCAAGTGGAGTCTCATGAGAGAGAAGCAGAGGGCTAGGATCACCTTCCCCATCCTGCTGGCCATGCTGTTTTGGATACAGCCCAGGATAGTGTTGGTTTTCTGGTCCGCAAGCAAATATTGCTGCGTCAAGTCCAGTTTCATCATTCACCAGCATCCCCAAGTCTGCTCTCAATCCCTTCATATCCCCCAGCCTGCATTGCCCTGACACAGGTGCAGCAACTTGCACTTGGCCTTGTTGAGCCTCATGAGATTCCCATGGGCCTATTTCTCAAGCTTGTCGGTCCCTCTGGATGGTGTCCTGTCCCTTAGGTGTGTCACTGCACCGCTAGCTTGGTGTCATCTGCAAACTTGCTAAAGGTGCACTTGATCCCTTTGTCTGTGTCATTGGTGAAGAGAGTGAACGCTACTGCTCCCAGTATGGACCCCTGAGAGGCACAACTTGTCACTGATGTCCATCTGGGCATTAAGGCATTGACCCCTGTCCTCAAGGTGTGAGCATCAGTCAATTCCTCATTCACTGAAAAGTTGATCCATCAAATTCATATTTCTCCAGTTTAGAGAGGATGTTTTAGAAGACTTACAGCAGTCCAGATAGGTGACATCTGTGGCTCTTCCCTGTTCACAGATGTAGTCACTCCAGCATAGGGGGCTACTAGGTTGGTCAGGCAGGGTTTGACCTTGGCCAGTCTGTACTGGCAATAATAACATCATCTCCCTGTATTTTCTCTTTTTAACTGAGGGTTACATAATCTCTTCAGAGATGATTTTAACTCACTAATTTTTAAAAAGCAAATTGATAACCTTTTAGAGAAGGCACTTAATGGATTTGACAGTTTATCTGTTGTTTCTGACATCACCCCCATGGTATTTTCATCTTCTTTCATCTGTGTTTGCTCGTTCTCTGCTGTTACAGTCACTAGGTTTCCCCGACCCGTGTCGCCTCTTCAGGACGTCGCCGTCATCATTGGAAGCCGCGAGCAGCTGGCGGTGCTGTTGCAGCTGTACGATCATCAGCTGGAACATGAGGGCACCACAGGCTGGGAGACTCTGCTATGGGTAGTCAATCAGCTGTGAGTTCATTTGTGTCTTAGGGTACCTAATTTTAAAACATGTCAAAATTTATAAATCTTAAGCGTGGTCGGGTTTAACAATTACTGAATATAAGAATGCTAAGAACAATTGCATTTGAGAATTACTAGAGAGAAAAACTTTATTTTAGGCAGTTTTATTTTCATGCTGAATTGCCTTTGATTTTATTCAGAAAATATCAAGTCTAGCAGAACATGAAGGTAACTAATTGCTCTGTAAACTTTCTTTTTGCATCGGTATAGTTAATTATCTTATGAAGTAAATATTGTTGTATTCTGACTGTCTCGTGATAGCAGCAGATGTTTGAAAATATGGGTCAGACTTTTCTGGCACTTAAACCCTTGCTTTCTTCACGGGTCAGGAATTGTACAGAACATGTAGCTAACTTTTTATTAGAACCAGTAGTGTTCTGTGTGTGTAAGTACTTATTAATATAAGCAATAAATCTATACAAATGTAAATGGACAAAATCAGAAAGTCAGAGTAGTGTTTAATGTCCTTTTGTTTCCTGATTTTTAGGCTACCACAGCTTATAGAAATAGTTGGCAAGATCAATGTAGCATCAACTGCTTGTGTCCATGAGTTCTCTAGATTTTTCTGGAGACTTTGTAGGACATTTGGGAAAATTTTTACAAACACTAAGGTAAGACATTACTTCAAATATTCTACATACTTGGTAAAATATAGTCTCTATATTTACATTATGTTGGAACACCCACAATTTGTGACCTTTTATGTTTTCATGTCATTGATGCTTTTCTGTAAGTACATTTAAACCTGCTATTTTTAGAGTTCTCTTTGTGTCATTTTCTGGTTTTGTTAATTTTGGAATTGCCTTCTCATCTTGCCCAACCAGAGGCAATTTTTTTTTTAACTGTATTCTTCATATTTCCTTTGTGAATAACAGAGAGAGTAGGAGAGATCATCCTAATTCTGGTTATTTAACAACTTTGTTTCTTCAGAGCAGCATGTTGTTCACTCTTTGCAGTGTACATAAGTACTCCACCTTTACCTGATTAAAAAATTTGAAGTGGATGCCTCCCCAGCCTGAAATATTTTCTGTAGGTGGTATCTATACATTTTTATCAAGGAATTACATAATTTTTCTCAATAAAATTTTAAAATACTTCAAAGGACATTGTCAAACATCAGAGGATTACCTAAAGATAAAACTCTGTTAGCAGTATGTACTGCCTCCAGAGAGGGGATTGTTGTTGTTTTGTTTTGGGGGATTTTTTTTTGCTTCGTTTTGCAATTATTTTTATTTTTCTAAGTTAATTGACACTGGTGACAGGTCAATTACCATTGACCAATTCTTACATGCGTTTCATCATCCTTTGCATAGGTAAAACCACAGTTCCAGGAAATCTTAAGACTGTCTGAGGAAAACATAGGTAAGTAGCTGTTTACTGAAATAAATTGATCTTAATTGCAACAGGAAAAAAATTTTCAGTCTCTTGTTCAAATAACACTGTCAGGCTGCAGTTCTCAAATTTATTATCTTTGTGAAACGTTGAAAAAGCTAGTCTTAATCTGATTGGAACCCCCTGAAATTGTAGATTGTGTGTAAAGTAAAAACAAAATCTCAAATCCAAATACTTCTTGAGTATTATTTAAGCACATTTCAGTATATATGCAAATATATGCATATAAATTATTCATGTATATATAAAAAAGTGATTGAATCTATAATACTTTAATACACACATGTAAGTCTATTATATATAATACATATGTTCTATACTCATATGTATGTATAAAACCTCAATTCTTAACTGTGTTTCATTAGATTCCACAGCAGGCAATGGAGTGCTAACAAAAGCCACAGTTCCCATCTATGCAACAGGAGTCCTTACATGTTATATTCAGGTAGGTTTGGGTTTCTGTTTCTTTGTTGTGTAAAAGTATGTGAAACTTATTTTAAAAAAATATCTAAACATTACTGTGTCATTGCAAACTTAAGATAGGTAGATGAATGGGCAGCTGTAAATACATCTACAAGCAAACTTTTCCTAGTCAGGTGGTGGTGCACATTTAGATCATGTGTTACCATGCCCCTCTGTCAGAACTCTGTTGATGTTCTGAAATGGGTTCTCAGCCATTTAATGTGAACGTGGCAAACATCATGGTGCCAAACAGGTACTGAAACAGGTAAATTGCCATTTGAAGTCTAGTTAGAGTCTTAAAATTTTGATGTTACCTAGTACTAAAACAAGCACACTATTAATCCTCCAGCAATGAGCAGTCAAGTTCTAGTACACACATATCCTACAGGAAAAAAAGGAAATTCTTCATAATCTTACAAATTTTTAGTGGATTATGATTTATTAACTTTCAGGAGTCATAAATGTGCTTAAGTACTGTTCTTAGAAGTTTCTTTAAAAAAAGAATTTATGCATGAGTATGTGCTTAGTAGATGAAACACAATCTCTTCATGTGATTGCTTTGAAAGGCTCTTGTTCTTTAAACACATTTTTGAAGTTCCTAAGAAAATTGTTAAATGCTTAATCTCGTTTGTTCTTTTTCATAGTTTGTCTCCTGTACAGCTATAGATTGCCATCATAACCTCAGCAGTCCTTCCAGCACATTCATCACTGTACTCCCTTGTTCCCCTCTTTCAGGAAGAAGACCGCAAGCTGTTAGTTGGATTCCTGGAAGATGTAATGACCATGCTTTCACTGTCCCATGCTCCTCTTGATAGCCTGAAAGCTTCCTTTGTGGAACTAGGGTAAAGAATATACCTTGGGGTTAACTACATCTGAATACATTAGAAGCTTTTATTAAAAGCTGCTGATCTATTTGTAATTTTAAGCAGCTGTGATGCTTTGGGTGAATAGGGGGTATACTTGCTTTTTTTCCCCTGATGTAAATGCAGTTTCTAGGTTAAAAATGTAGCAGTTGGAAAAATAAAATCTAAAGTGTAAAAGAGGAACACCAAAATCCAAACAAAAGATTTCCACAAAAACAACTCATTGAGAAGGCAATGGAAATTGATTTTCTATTTACCATACTATTGTCATCTGTTCTAGATATGTATTTGCTTTTGATAGAATTCATTGAAAATTATGTTCTTAAAGTTGAGCTTGGGGTTCTTTTAATTAACGTGAAAAAGGAACATATTTTCTGGACTGCAACATGTTGCAAGTCTCTCAGAATAAGTATTTTGTATCCTTCAGAAAGGATAAATGCTGGAGTTTTAGATTTGTTGAACGAGGAATTCTTAAGACTGCATTTTTTGGGTAAAGAACGTACCCAAGGCTTGGCAGTATTTTTGTTTGATCAATTGCCCAACTGTTTTGTTCTAGTGCAAACCCAGCTTATCATGAACTGCTATTAACTGTTTTGTGGTATGGAGTTGTGCATACTTCTGCTCTTGTTCGGTGTACAGCTGCTAGAATGTTTGAGGTAAGTGTTGTCCAAACTGTTTTTCACTTTTTTGTAAACTGGAGTTTATTTTTTAAAACAGGGATTAATCAGACAATGTTGCTACATTCTTGATAATTACAAACAACTTAAATAAGCTGTGTACTGTGTGATGGAGCAGGAGGTTGTTGTTCAGCTGTTTCTGTATCTGTTCTCTGTTCAGCAGCACATCTTTCTGTAGGTCTGTAGTTAAATACAAGCATCTCTGAGTTTTAACTTCTGCTTTTGCTATTCAACACATCATCGATAGTCTAATATACAACTTACTATTTTCAGTAGGTCTTGTGTATGCTCATACAATGCACTTGCATTGCAATTCAAGCTAGTTTTCTTTGTACCAGATATGGTGGTGAAGACACACATGTAACCAATTTTATATTTTTTGTGGAAATTAAAAGAATTCAAAAAGAATTTACAGTTACTTTACTTGCCTCATAATGGCAGCTTCATTTTTCCCTTAATATCTATCAATTCTGATCAGAATAAAGACTGAAATGTACACCTAGTAAGTTTGCTTTTCTTTTCACATCATGCCTTTGTTTCATCAAATGTTAATTTTAAAAAGCATATGCAGAAACTCTGGGACATACTCCATTGGCTGAACAAAGAGAACTCCCTGGCCTTTGCATGTTAGAAACACATATTTCTAATCACCATTACTTTTTCCTTCTCTTTTTTTGGGCATTTTTCCATATATGTCTCATTTGGATGGCTTTGGAGGGGACCTCTAGCTGAACCTGACATCTTGTGTCCATTTGCAAAAACTAATCTGAAGTCTGCCTCAGAAAAAAAAGCAGTTAACATATCCATCAGCTTTCTTTAGTGACACTCTGCAAGTCAGTGCGGAGAGAGCAGTAAATAACCACAGCAAGCTCCATCCTGAGACTTCAGTTGAAAACATCCAACAATGTCCTTTTTTTCCAGTTTGTTTGGGGTTTTTCTTCCCCTCATTTTAAAAAGGAAATGGCAATTTTTGGACACTGTTACAATCCATTTGCATATTTTCCCTCTCACAAAAGCATTTCTTATATCCTATTTGTAATAATAAGCTCTTTTTCCCTAATAAATATTCGCCAAACATATGAAAAGCCTCAGTTATAACAGGCTGTTGTCTTGGTTGCAGCTTCTTTTCAAATTTAGCTGATTGTTGATTATTTTTAGGCAGTCTATGCATGCTATTTCATATCTTGTTTCTTTCCATATTACAATTTTTACAAAGCCTAGGCAGCTTTCTTTTAAATGCTTTTCTTACTTGAAAATAGTAGTATATTGCTGTTTCCTGGATAGCCATGGCATACATATGTATACATGGTATTATGTAAATTTGGGAAGTCACCTGTGCAAAGAGGTAGTAATAACTAGTTTCACTACTGGAAGATTCCATCACTCAAGGAATTTCTGTAACCTCAGAGGCTGCTGAATGGCAAAGCCCAATGATTAGATAATAGGATGACGGGTATGTGACCTGCAGGACAGCTGTATGAGAGCAGTGAAGATTCTGAGCAGCACAGAGACTGCAGGCCCGACTGCTTTTCCAAACATCTGCAGTCTGTTAAGGGTTGGAAGGACACAGAAGTGATGTGGGGCCTTTCCACTCCCTTGCTCCTTTGGGGCTGGAATCTTTGTGCTACCATTTTTAAGCTGTAGTATGTATAAGTAATTATCTAGAGGAATCAAAAAAAGGTAACAATTTACATTGTCTGTCTCACTCTAACTTTACATGCTGCTACACGGCTCTGCCCACCCAGCTGTTCCTGTTGCTTCTGCATTAATGTTTGTAGTCAGCAGCTTCCCATTTGAATGTTGATGCAAACAGATTTGATTACTCTGGTTTGAATGTGAATATGTATAAGTTGACTTATACATAAGCTTTGCTAGTCTGTTTGGGTTCAGGGCTAGGAACACATCTTCAGAATGACACTTGTACTATAAAGCATGTTTTATTTTCTGTATGATGGAATGCATCTGTTCACCATGCTTTACCATACTTAAAAATGTGGCAGACCAGACAGGAATGAAGCTGAGATCATTCTAAATTATTTGCTAATTACACAAATCCCAAGTGTTTGGGTTTTTTTTTTTTTTTCAAAGCACTGTATAACTGCTAGGCTTTTCTCTTAAAGAAGATTAATAAAGAAAACTCAAGTCTCTGTTTGTCCAAGATTGCAAATTATAAGCAATCTCTATTTTAATAAGTGTGGAAATTAGTAAAGCTGTATGAGAGTAAAACCATCATAAGCAAACTGTGAGCTATGTCCTTAAGAGCTTTGAAGAGTAGCTCATGAACTCAACAGATTGGCACTTGGAGTTGTTGCCAATGTAAATAATTGTGAAATGTATTAATGTTAAAATGTTGTAGTTGAACTGACATCCTAATACTTTCTGACTAACAAGTATAGGATGTTGCAACTTTGTTACTCCAGGTGCTTTGCAGCAATAGTGTCTCATGTTCTTACACAGCTTCTCCCTGTTCTTCCTTCTCCAGTAATTGTCTGTGAGGCCACACCCTGTTCCATGTCTGTGTGCACTCATGCATGCGCACACATACACGCACACATAAATGTTGCTTAATAGGAGCGACTCCTTTATATAGAAGCTTTAGAAAAGTCAGGCTCCTTTGAATATTTTACAGCTTACTTTGGTTTAAATTCAGAGCTGGTAGAGCAGGAATGCTCCAACAAATAGCAGAATGTAAAATCTTCTCTAGTTAGAGGATGTAAATACTGTCTGGTTTTGGTACTGATATACTGACAGCTACTGCTTTTTGCTGGGGAGTGGCTTAGAATTTAATTTGTGTTCATTATGAAATATGAGTAATCAGAATATAGCTAAATATTAAAAAGACATTTCATAATTCTCATATAAACTTACTGATAAGATTTTTGAATTCATCTCCTACAACCAGCAAATATATGCAGACTTCCTTATGTGAAACACAAAATGGAAATATCTAATCTTTCCTCATTTTATTAATGAAGACAAAATTCATCATTTTGTTGGATATGAAAAAAGTATGCAACTTGGTTTGAAAATTAGTGGGTTTTCATATGAAGAAAGCAGGTAATGGGCATTTGCAATATATGCAGCAAATGCTTGTATATAACTACATATGTAATGTAAAAAAATCACCTGGGAACATCTGGATTTAAACAACCTTGTTGTGTTCATGGATAATGAGTTTTACTGTGATTTCAAGCTTTTAACGTTTGGGATGCACAGCAACAAATACATCTCTTCCTTAGTTTGCAAAAAATCTTGAGGAAATACATTTCATGGATAGTTCAAGGATTCTCCATTTTCTCCCTGCACAGACCAGCATGCATATTGTTTGGATGGTTGTTGAATATCAAGAAGTCCTGAATGATTTTCAGGAAAACATTTTGGCATCTGGGAAGGTGCTGTTTGTCTCATTGTAAAAGGTGTGAGAGGTATCACTCGGTGTGGGGAAATCTACACACATTTGGCCTAGTCAAGACTTGTGTGTTGCATGTGACAGCCACCTACTATGATAAATACTGTTGTGTTGAGTTAGGAACAGCATTTACATGAAATCATCAAATTCAAATTGACATCGCTTTAGCACTTAATTATACATAACTTTATTTATAGTTATAATTGTATCTGAAATAAAACATGCAATTACTTGCTAAAGGTTTGAGTTCAAATTTTAAAATATCTGAAAATAAAGAAAACGTTGAATTCATCATGTTTGTGCTGACTGCCAGACCACTTTAGCTTTCTTCATGCCTTTGCAGTTATGAAGCTCTAGTGTAGCAGTATTTGCTTAGCTTCTAATTTTGGTTTGCTTTTTGTGTTTTTTTCTTTCTCTCTCTTGGTTTTGCCGTTCTTCTTCCCATGATACTGTGCTCGCTCTTTCCGTTCATCACCTGTGATACCCCCCTGCTCCGACCACTCAGCTGTTGGTGAAGGGGGTACATGAAACTCTGGTAGCTCAGAGAGTTGTTCCTGCTCTCATTACTCTCTCCAGTGACCCTGAAATGTAAGTTCCCTGACTGCCTTATATACCTGGCATCCCTCTTAATACTTAGAAAGAAATAACCGTCAGTTATGTCTCTTAATCTAACTGAACAGAAATTGAATTACTTTTAAAGGAAAGTAACCTTTGAATCACTTATTTCCAAATAAAAAGGTTTACTGCAACATCTGGAATTAAACTGTATAAAAATTCTGAATGAACTTGAAATAGAAAACTTAAATCCATGTAATTACATTCTTGTTTATATTTAATCATGTTCTCAGTTTTCAAATTTACTTGCATAATTTCTAGCAGAAAACTGGATACTACTATTCTGTAATGCTATCTGCTTTGCTACTGCAAAATTAAGTATCATCTGCATTAATGAAATGCAGAGTACTTTTGGCTGCATCTCATTTCTGATAGACAACCGTGGCACTTCATTTCGTGGACATTCTGATGTGGTATTTCTTTCAGGCTAAGGAGGGGTGCTTTGCTAATCTCACTAACAACTTGTTACTAACAGATGCTCCAGCATGAATAGAGTCTTAGTGGCTTTAATGTCTTGTGTGGGTGACTAAACCAAGAACAACCCCAAGAGTCTGCCTGCCCATCCTCAGTCACAGCTAACCCAGTTCTTCACGTTTACCAAAGCGTTTTTTATTGCATGTTGACTGGTTTACAGCTGGCTCTTCGAGGCATGAGTGAAGCGTTAGTTGACAAGCGGGTTGCTCCGGCCCTTGTTACCTTGTCCAGTGATCCTGAATTGTGAGTTTCAGACTGAGACCTTGAGTTAATCCTGTCTTTTTCCTGGTCTGCTTTTTTTTTTTTTTCTCCCTTTGTCATTGCTAGAAACTAATGTAACTTAAAAGTACTAATTTTTTTTAATTTTTATATAAGTAATTTTGTTCTTTGTGTTGACTACATCTTAAAGACCCTGTTTTTCCTTTGTAGTTCAGTAAGGATTGCTACAATCCCTGCTTTTGGGACCATCATGGAAACTGTTACTCAGAGAGAGGTAAGACACCTGTTGTCACCTATGTTTTTGTAGCATAAGAAGAGAATGTTTTTTTTAATAGATCCAGAATAAAAGAGCAAGTAATAAATTCTCTTTCTCTCTCTCTTTCTCTCTCTCTTTCTCTCTCTCTTTCTCTCTCTCTTTCTCTCTCTCTCTTTCTCTCTCTCTCTTTCTCTCTCTCTCTTTCTCTCTTTTCTCATATTCTTTTCCAAAGTGCTTTTGGGTTTTGCAATGGACTTTTTTTTTTTCTCTCTAAACAAACCAACCCTTGTAACTAATAAAAAACATTTCCTTCTAAATCTCAACCAAACATAAACAGAGACAGATAAGTAGAGGGGAGGCCTGTGCTAGAAGATGGGAAATCCCATGCTCAAAATGGTTTTTTTTAAACCTTCTCCAGCACAGTTGTGAAATCTAACTCCATTATTTCCAAATGAAATAGTTATATTTTAAAACGGTGACCAAAACCATCCACATATTGTGCTATTGTATATTGTACTTTTTTAGATGCTTTAGGGTATCCTGCTTGGCTCCCAAATACTTTAGAAGAGCACAAAACTCTTCTTGTTCCGGTTATGTCTGCTGGTTTAGCCCTTGGTGTCCAAGATGGCACTGAAAGACATAGTAACATCAGCAAAGTATTCCTTGAAAATAATGCAGAGATGCAGTTCCTCCTCATTTATTAAATGATGATACTATGGTAATAGATGAAAATTCTGAAGACAGTCAGGATTCTGCTGTAAACAGTAGAAAACTGGATTTTGTTTCATGTAACAACTGTGCAATCGCATTTCTTCTGGAAGTCCTTGCAGCTTTTTGCAGAGCTTGCATTCTTCCCGTAATTTCAACATATTCTAAAAGAATGTGTTTGAGGAAATGTGAGTAATGTGAGTCAAGTCAGTGATGACTCACACGTACTTGGACGATGGAAAAGTTAGAATTTTGCAGCTTGGAATGCATGCCTATAATCAGTTGGGAAGAATATTGTTTTGTTGCCACACAGAAATTACTGTATCCATTGCACTAATTATGATAAGCCTTAGAGTACAGAGGTGAGAGCACCTTCCAAAATGTATCATAAAATGTTACTTTTTCAAGCTTGAATCCAAATTAAATGCCTATCTCATTTTCAGTTTTCTAGCCTTTAGTTGAAGAAATCTTTGTAATCCCATTGATTTTATGACGGTTACTTTTGCATCTCTGTCCTCTACAAAAAAAAAAAATAAATTCAACCTATTAATTGAGATACATTACAAAAAAGCTATTAACTGATTTCTAATTAAACAGGAAAAGTCAGTAGTTATTAGTTATTAAGTAAGAGGGAAACTGTAATAGCAGGGAAAAAAAGTTATTATCAGACTCAAGGAAACCTCAGGAGGAAAGATCAACTATATGGGAGCACCTGTCTGCTGTTAAAAGATCAGATTAAAACTCTGGTAACAGTCTTTAAAACATAGAGGTGCATTAAAGAGTTTGAAACATCCTTTTAGAAGACATCTGTAAATTAGAAGAAAGTCCAAGATCATCTGAAATACAAAAAATTGTAAATTTTCTCTGAACTGATCATAACAGTTTCTAACATCTTGATTCTTTTGTGTTCTTTCTATTTCTCTGGGAATATTAAAGCTTCTGGAGAGAGTAAAAATGCAGCTGGCATCTTTCCTGGAGGACCCTCAGTATCAAGACCAACATTCTTTACATACAGAAATCATAAAAACATTTGGAAGAGTTGGACCTAACGCTGAGCCCAGATTTAGAGACGAATGTAAGTTGCATCCATGGGAAGATGCAGTCTTCTTCTCTCTGTCCAAAAGCTAATAGGTATGCTGGTTGCATTGATGGGGTTTTTCTTTCTTTTCTGTAAACTATTATTATTTCAAAGGTACTCCAAGGTACCTTTTTATTTTAGGTGGTGCTACCACACATTTTTGTTTCAAGTTTGAGTCAATCCATTGGATGTGCAAGGTCAATCCCATCAAAAGCAATTGCTTGCTGTTCTTATTCCATGCTGATACGTGAAGTTTCAGATGCCTGCATTTGTCATATAGCACCTCTTCAATGCTAAACAAGTCTGTGGAAATCAGTTTCATATACTTACTCCTGTATTTACTTTTCCAGTTGTTATTCCACACTTGCACAAGTTAGCCTTGGTCAACAACCAGCAGTCTGTTGATTCGAAGAGACTGGATATCGCTACCCACCTGTTTGAGTCCTACAGTGCTCTTTCCTGTTGTTGTATCCTTTTTTCAGGGGAAATCTAGCTGTTATTTCTCTGGTGGTGAGAGAAGCTAAATATTAGAGAAATAACTGAGTTTGTCTTTGAATCTGTGGTATAAAACGTGATCTATTCAACATAAGGGGGAGGTTTTCAGAGGTGGTGAATATCGTGGATTAGCTGGACACCAGGTGCCCCCCAAGCCACTCTCCTTCCGCTCCTCAGCAGGATGGATGAGGGTGGGGGAGAAAATCAGATGGAGGAAAAACTCACGACAAAATAAAGGCAGATTAGTATGGAAACAAAGCAAATAAAAAGATTTTCAGGGCTTCAGCACTTGTAGCAATCGCTCAAGAACACAAACATCATAATAACAAATGGTGTCCTGCCCTGCCACCACCACTTTCTCCTAGTTTTGGTATCTGAATAGGCATCATATGGTGTGGAACATCCCTCTGGTCAGTTTGGGTCAGCTGTCCAGGCTGTGTGCTCTCTCCCAGCCTACAGATGCGGGGGAATGCTGAGAGACAGCACCAATGCAGTAGCCTAAGCACTGGTGTGTTACCAACACCTTTCTAGGTATCAGTGGAAAGCACAGCACTGAGGACTGCTGTGCAGAAAATGAACTCCAGCTCAGCCAGACCCCATAAAGTGGAACTGATAGATATTTCAAAAACAAAGCTAATAAAAACCCTCTCGATCTTAAACAATAAACTAAGAAAAAAAAATCTTAAAATAATTATATGGATACGTGAAATACATGATGTTAAATATGTTAAAGATCTTTTTTTCCTTTTTATTAGTCATGAAGTGTCAAGTGCTGTTCCATTTTCTTAGTTTTGCTGCTGCCCTTGTGTTCCATAAAACAACATTATCAGAAGACACGAAAAAAAGTATAATTTAAAAAGGCAATCCTTACAATACCTTAACAACCTGGGTTTTAGTTATTTCAGAGGATTTAATGGTCAATCACTTTTTGCCAGGACTGAAGTGTTTACGAACTGACATGGAACATCTCTCTCCAGAGCATGAGGTGAGCAGTAATCTATATTTACTGAGTATGGGATGTGGGTAGAAGAAGTTGAAATGTGATGGCATTTAAAACCAGAAGTTAAGGAGAGCTGCTCATAAGTGGTTTCAAAACATAACATTGAGGAGGTTTCTTTGATAAAGAATAGGTCATATGATTTCAAAACCAGTAAAATCTTGTAAAATATATTTCTAAGCTGAGGATCTCTGCAGACTCTACTGTCAGAAATGCATGTCAAAACACAGATCTTCCTAGACTGAAGAAAAAGGAAATGTTTTTGCCATCTTTATGTTAATCAAACCAAAGATGCACTAAAATCAATGGCTACAATATAATCAATGAAATGTAGATAAAAATTGTGGAGTGCCGGAAAGAAACTATTAAGGATTAGGGAAGTAGAGTCCTAAAATACCTGGGGCACACTTCCTATCAGGATTACTGTGTCCAGTTCTGGGCTGCCCAATACAAAAATATGGACTTAGTGGAGAGAGTCTAGTGAAAGGCTGGAGGAGAAAATGATGGATCTGGGACTGTTCAGCCTGGAGAAGAGGAGGCTTAGGTGAATTTTATCAGTACCTGAAGAGAGGTCCAAAGAGGACAGTGCCGGGCTCTTCTCAGTGGTGCTGAATGACAAGACCAGAGAACCATGGGCAGAGCTGGGTTTTTGGGGATTTTTTGTGACAATGACTAAGCAGTGGCCCACGTTGTCCAAAGAGGTTGTGGAGTCTAAATGCTTGGATACTCAAAAGCCATCTGGACATGTTCTTCCTCGGCATTTGGCTTCAGGTGGCCCTGCTTGAGCAGGGAGTTGGACCAGATGATCCTCCAGGGGTCCCTTCCAACCTCCACCACTCTTTGATACTGTGAATTATAAAGAGCAGATTAAAAGAAGCAGACAGGACAACGTGGGTGTGAACGAGATCTTCTCTGGAAGGAGGCGCTTACAGAAATCAGCAAAAAACCCAAAAAAGTTAACAGAATAAGCCAACTTAAATAACTTGAAAATCTTGGCCATATGCACTTTTTTGGTAAGTACTTGAACACGATGAATACTAACAGAGATTGAAACAAAACGATGTTAAGTCAGTAGCAGAAATAAGAAGTGTTGTTTTGTTGGGGAAAATCTTAACAGGATGAACATTTCAAGGGATAGAGGAAAAGATTTAATCAGAATGTACAGAAGAGTAGTGTTGTAGTCTTTGAAGGTTAATACTGCACTTTGATTAATTACTTCATATGTGAGAAAATTATTTTATTTTCCTTGTATTTGCAAAAGTGACTGAATTGAGATGACTCTATTCTCTGGGAGTTCTAAGTTCTTATATTCAGTAACAAGGTTCCTTCCAGTTACATTTGCCATCTAAAAGCCCATAGTATCAATCTTTTATTTTCTGTATATTATTACTGGAGGAACTTTTCAACCTGAAAGGACAGAACCTGAGTTCAGAAGGCTGAGTCAAAAGAAACAGCATCACTCAAAGGCAACAGCGTTGTGTTCCATACCACGGGCAGCACTGGAGGTGTAGCAATGATAGATCCTCTGTGTTCAGAGAGAGGTGCGAAATGGACTGGGAGGTCTTAAACTTATATCTGAAAGCTGGAGTTAGGCAAAAGTTGCATTTTCTTTCACCAAGAAAATATAATCGGATAACTGATTGAATACTGGTACTTCATTTTTTAGTTAATGTAACTTCTAAAATTTAAAGACATAGTCAGTTCAAAAGATACCCTGAATTAGAACAACGGGTTTGATTGAGTTTGAATCTTGTAGTCAGAGAAAGAGCTGAGGACTGGAACAGGATTTAAAATAAATTGATAAGTAAAGACAGCTCTCAGTCTTCCATTACCCCAATTCTGCATTACTGTACTTAATTGACTTCAGTCATGATGCCAATTGCTTTGGCTTTTTAGCTGGTGAGCAATATAAAATTGGAAATATTTACCCCTGCTCCAGTGGGTTAGAAAACTCACTACAGGCTTTACAATTTTTATCCCTTTTCTTGTAGAAATGGATAGGTAGGACTTGGTCAGCTTCCCACTTCAGTAGGATGTTTGTAGCCATCATGATAGAGGCTTCTGAGACCCAGTGAGTTCTAGTGTCTGTCTTGGAAGCCTTCAGTCTGAGAATCATGTTTTATGAAATGAATGTCATTTACTGTCTCAAATAATTAGACATTTGCATAAACAGAATTAAGCCTTTTTTCACTCTTTTGGCCTCTATGGTATTATTCAGATGGCTTATCACTTGACAAACACACATTTTCTAAATCACAGAGCCTTAGCTCTAATGGCTTTAACGTCAGTACCGAGTTTATGCTCATCTTGGAAGGGTAACATTGTGGAATTAGCTTGTGTGGTCCTGTCTGGCAGCATTTACCACTCATACCTCATACTTGTTTTCCTTTCTTTCATGTAAATAAAAGTGTAAGTTGGGCATTTAGGAATGCATTAGGGCATTCCTTTAAAGATGAGATGGTTCTCATCTTTAAAGGAAACATTTTCTCATCTTTAAAGGCAACATTTCACCTTGTGCAGACACTCAGATACTTTACCGGCATCTGTAATTCGATGTCAAGTCCCTTCTTCCTCATTTTCCACTTACCTTCTATGGGTTTTCAAAGTGAATTTGAGTTGCATGATAGTGAGTCAGTACTTGGTAAAAATATTTAGTCCATATACTGCAGTACTGTTTATAAGACTTCAGTATGTTAAGTCTCTTAAGTGTCTCTAAATATAGAGTTAGTGCTCTAAAATATTTCTCTTTAAGGAGATGTGATTTCATAATCAGTCCTATGACCAAACAAGGAGAATCCAAAGGAATAGGTCTGAGCAGTATGTGCAAAGCCATAATGTAGAAATTTAGAAATTAATTTGCGGAAGAGGCAAGAATTGCTCCACTTCATCTAAGAATTAGACAGCCATCCCAGCAGGAGCTGTGCAATGGATGGGTAAGCCATCCTGTTATTGAAATGATCCTGGGTCCTTGATGAATTATTCACCCCTTTGATCAAGGCTTCATATTGTTGATATTTGGAACATCTGGATTCAGATGTACAAAAATGTAGGAAAGTTCCAGTGCACAGGTGGAAATGATAAGTAACAAAAATTATGGTGACTGTGCTTGAAAATTTCAGGACTTTTTTATATAGAACACAAAGCCTGTTTTTTCACTAGAATTCTAAATGTATTTCTGTTGTACCTCTGTACTCTTGAGCATTATGTATTTGTATAACTTTTTATGCAAATGGGGGACAGCAAATGTAGCAGGAAGAGTTCTAGTCCTGTTTGAATGCCACTCTCTGAAACACTCAAGGGTGTGTAACACCTGCTACCTAAAATGTTTCAAATGCTGAAATCATACTTCTAGATAAATGGTGTTAGCAGTGGCACAGGTCTCCAGACCAGGCCACATCTTATCAGTGTAACTAATGGTTGTGCTGCAAACTTGACAGAAACCAGCATTTTAATTTATGCAAATACATTTTAAAATAGTTATCAGTTGGTAGTAACCATTAGTGACTGATCTGTATTTTACAGATTGAAAATAGTATTTTTCCTTTGTTGTGTATATTCAGGTTTGGTAAGACAATACTAATTTTAATTGCTTGTAGCTTTGAGATTTTAAGTTCAGTGTCTCAAAAAAGTATTTAGCTTCCTTCTGAGCTGTGGCAGAGGAACTTTCCATTTATGCAGTGTGTATATGTGTGTGTATATGTATATATTTATAGTTTCATACTTTGCATTCTAACTTTTTTGCCTAAGTGTTGCAAAACATGTCTTGGTTTGAAAAGACAGGTGTCTGCTAAGGAAGGCAGGAGCCTCTCTTGAAATGGAAAATGTAAACCCCCTCCCTCTGAATTCTTATAATTTTGAAATTAAGGGACTCTCGGGCAAAGGTATGGGAGTAGAAATAACAGCTTTTTATTAGGAAAAGTAAAAATAAAAGTGTAGTAATACAAAACAACACTGACAGAGTCAGAATATGACCTGACACCCTGTTTGTCAGGTAGCAGTCCCATTAAATGGTGGTTGCAGCCCTCCTGCAGTGGCAGATGTGGTGCTGTTGTAACAATGGGCCTGTGGAGGGGGGTAGTTTTCTTCTGAAGGTCCAGTGGTGGTGTAGATGGGCCTGGTCTTTCTCTGGGAATCCAGTGGGAAAAGGCTGCCTGTGGTGTTCCAAATCTCAGATTATATCCACGTAGGACTGCTTGGCTCCTCCCCCTGGACAGATCATTTCACACTGGGATGATGTAATTTTATCAATCATGCAATGAGATTCAATGGCCCGTCAACAGGAGATATCTCCTGGAGGGAGGATGGGTTGTGGAAGAAAACTGCCGAATTAACAGAAGATAACTGCCCCACCTCTAACAGATGGCAGTAGAATACACAACCCCTGCCACATCTTGCATTTGCAACCTAAGACAAAACACTTTTGTCTTAATGTGTTAAAACAGTACTGTTGTGAACAGGGAAGGGAGTCATTTATCTGTCCCATGAATTAACTGTATAATTTTGTTTTAAAGACTGCTATTGGGAATCATTTCCTTATTTTTGGATAAGTGTAAAAATGTCAGTGTGGAGGTGTCTTCAGTCTTAAATACTCTGCAGAAACCTTTAACACTGTACTTGCTTAAATAAAAGGAAAAAGCCATGAGTCATAGGAACTCTGGAAGACACCAGTGGAATGGTATCAAGTTGATTTTAGCACTTCCTTCCATTAAGATGTTGTCCTAGGAAACCATCACACTTTTTTCTTTACTTACTTTTTCTTTGATAGGTTATGTTCATGAAGATATAGTGTGTCACAGATGTGCGATTGTTTTAGTGCTGATTTTAAAAGCCTGGGGCAAAAGGATGGAGTCCTGAACTTCTGTAACTATTTGGAAAACATTTTCTTCCTTAAGTTATTTTGAATTTTTTTGTTGTTTCTAACTGCAAAGCATTATCAGATGACTGGAACTCAAAGGCACTTGATTAAAACAGAAATGTTTTAAACCGTTCTGCTAATGTCAGAATTATTTGCAGAGTAGATTTCATAAGAAGTGTTAAAGGAAAAATGTCATATGTCATGTATCTCTCTTCCTTATGTGTCTTAGGTTATTTTGAGCTCCATGATAAAAGAATGTGAACAGAAAGTGGAGAACAAGACCGTCCAAGAACCGCAAGGGTAAGACTTCCACTTCCCTTTTTCTGTGTGCCTCCAGAGTAGTGTTCCGCAGAGTGTATTCCATAATGGTGTCCAAGGTTTGTGACCTGGAATCCTGCACTGACATATGGTGTATTTGAAAACAGAGTTTGGAAACTTTAATACAGTGGTTGTTTCTGTCTCCAGTGTAAAACACGAGACAACAATTATTTTTATAGGAATTATGTTCTTGGTTCTTAATTTTTTGTTCATTTAAAGCTGTATTAAATTTCTGTCCTGAATCTGAGGAATCAGGGAGTGCCTGGCCTAAGTGCTTAGAGCAGCCTATGTAGCAGACACTTTGCCACCCATGGGGGTGGCAACCTGCAGACTGAGGGTCCTGGTTCTGGTGCTGGGAAGGGCTTGCTTCAGGCTGCTGTCCTGGTTTCCACAGGACTGGTGCACACAAGAGCAGTTTCTCCAGGGTATAAACTAACCCCTGTGTAAGTGTGCTGGTTGGGCAGCAAGCTGACTTTGGGAAAGTGCCATCTGTGTTGCACTGTGGTAAAACACCCTTTCCACAAATACAGAGCAAACCCAGCTCTCCAGGGAGGCAGCAGACGCACAGTGCACATGCATCCATTTGCTTCACCTGTAGAGATGGTATCATTTGTGTGCACTTCCTGATAACAAAAGTAGCCAACAGACCCACCTTGGATTTGGAAATTGGAATGCTCAGTGTCATTATGATGAGTTGTGTGTGCTCTTTTGCCTGCTTATTGCCTGGAATGGCATGCCAGCAGGTAAATTCTTGTGGATTATTATATAACTTAACAAATCCTTCACAGTGTTGCCAAGGAAGTGTGTGAGAAGGTATCTGAAAAGAGAATCTGTTCTCAATCCCAATGCTTTGTCATGAGAATTGAGACAATTACTGAAGCTTGTTCATGTCATACATCCTTATCTGTAAAAAACTTCTAGAATTTACGTCTTGAAAGAGCTCACCCATAGTCCTGGAAGCAACTGGTAGTCTGAGAATGATTAAAATAAGAAAGGTGTACAAGAACTCAACAGAAGAAATGTCAAGTAGAAAAAGGGTCAGTCTCTCAGGCACCAAGCAAAATACTTCAGGCTTTACTAGTAGTAAATACTTTGAAATGACAGGCCTATTAAGGGGTTGCAGAAACAGATAAATGCAAACCTCATACAACATCTAATGTATTTTCTTTATGAATGCAGCTGCTGAAAACTAAGATATGAAAAGGATAAGTCTTTGCAGTCTGTTCCTTTGTTCTTTAATTAGCCTTCCCCTTTCTTACTCAATGTCAGGCTATGGTTGTAATCTTGTACTGTATAAAATTAACAAGAAATATTTTACCACTGAAGAAATGACCTTTTCATATACGTAAATATCTCTGTTTTCTTGCTAAGTGCTTGCTAATTTCAGTTCCTAATTTCAATGACAAATACGTATTTGACAAAGGATTTAAATACAACTGGTGGGGTTTGTTAACAGCACGGCAGTGCAGGCACAGAAACCAAAATGGGTACAAAAGCAATCTTCTGATGTTCTTATGTCTTTTCCCCTTGCTGTTAGAAAAACTTGGTCAATAATATGGGATCAAAGAAATAGTTTTTTCAGAAGATTAAACTTGGCATTTTTAAATGTTGGGTAGACACTTTTGTTAAACATTTTGTTTAGCAATTAAGATGATATTTTAATCATGGATAACATATGACAAACTGATTGCTATAAAATGCCCATTAAGAATGTTTGTTTTGGCCTAGAGTTTCCTCATAAAACAGGCAGAACTCTGTGTAGCATCTGATTCATCTAGACACCAGGAAAAATTTTATATTTACACATTATTTTTATTTGTGGGTTACGTTTTGTTTTGCTTTTTAAATAATGGATTGTTTTAACCAAGATATTATTGCTTTGTTGGGTTCTTTGATTGCTTTTTAAAGATTGAGACTCAAATAATTTGATTTCATATTAATTTTTGATTTCATTTTTGCTATGTTTAAATATTCAGTTTCCACAATAATGGAAGTATTTTGGAGGCTATTTTTTTTTATTATTGAAACTTCTAAGTATGCAGGATGCTGTGGATTATGTTTCTGTTTACAGTAACAGTACTAGAAAACATGAACTCCTAGACTCTGTAGTTGTTACTGTTTAATTTTTGACATCAAATGGCTGATATCCCCCAAACCGTTTCAAGAACCAATAGGAACACCTCCTTGTTTACCTCAGTCTTATTCAGGATCATTAGACTAATGAAAGCACAGTTTGTTTAGAACTACAGGTTTGTCACCAATTGCTGGACTTTCTTTTCTGAAGTGAGCCATTTTATTTTCTTGATGCTGCTAATGCTTGGAATGTACAGTATTTCCCAAATAAGTTTTCGTAGCTACACACAACTCTAGGGTCCCTCATAGTCCGAGACAGCTTCTTGTGCTTAACTAGCTGATAGTGAGTGTAAACTGTTACTTACATAATTTATATGCCCTTGCTTTATCATGAAATCAAAGGAAATTGCAAAAGGCATCCATCTTACTGTAGCAGTAATTTCCCAGCTGAGTTTTATCAGCTGGAAATATGTGATTCATTAGTTGGCTGGAGATGTTTAATCAAGCCAAAGATGTCTGGCTACATGATTGTGCCTGAAATAAATATTTTACTTTAAAAGTTTATAATTAAACTATTTGCAAATCCACAATACAGCTTTAGTGAGAATCTTCCCTTTTATTTTAAGGTACTTTAAAAAGAACCAGAAATCATTACTAAGCACCTTTTTTCTGTAGTGTGCAATGGGAGAAATTACTGGGTGTATCCCTTCTACCTTCGAAGAAATCATTCAAGTTCTGTTGAAACAATTCAGAGTTAACTTCAGTTTTATCTCCTTGATGCAAGTGTGTCTAACAGAATTGTTTATAACTTTTCAGACTGAAAAGTCAGTTCCTGGAATCTGGCCTTTGCAAGTAAGACAGATTTTGTGGTCCTAGCTATAATTTTGAAATGCAGAGTCCACGCTGAGTTCACTAGGGATAATTTATTTGGTAATGTTTTCTAAAATTGTCCACGTCCAATGTTGATAAAACTTGCCATTTTGACTACAAATATAGGAAGTATGGAATATTTGTTAATATTCCTGCTATGTATATTTACTCTGTCTTGAGACAGACGACTCCTACTGTGCTAAACAATTTATATATATCTGAAGTTGAGCTCACTGATATGTTGTTAATTTTAAAAAAATTTAAATTATTAAATTTTAAAATTATTAAATATTATTAAATATGTTAATTTCACATAATAGGGATAATTTCTTAACATATTATTCAAAGCTGAGCATGCTGTAGCTTCAGCATTGATGGATTGCTCCTTCAGTCCAGTTTGTGGGAAACCTATCAACTCTCCATTGGCCTATGTAGTGTGTCTCAATTAGGAACATCCAAGCACAGGTAACAGGAGCCACATTCACAGCAACCAGAAGAAGCAGCTCCTTACCCAGCAAGGGGCTGACCCAGTAGGGCTCAGGGTTTGCAAGAAATTTATAAGGAGATCAAAGGAAAGCTGATCAAGTAATATAAAATAAAGATTTATTGAGAGTTACTAGGTTGACAGTCCTCACCATTTTTTAACTCTGTTCAGATGGAAGTAGTTGGAAAATGAAGAGTTGAAAATTAAGGAGAGAGGTCACTGTTTTGTACTTAACTTGCTTTTGCTCATCTCTACATGTCTGCTAATGTCACTGTTGGAGGCAGGATGCTTGGGTTAGAATGGTCTGTGTCTGAACTGATTCTGGTGAACTTACACTAAATAAACACAAGGATTGACATTTCTGGTGAAAAGGCAAAGCCAGTCTTTCACAGAGGTAGTTGTCACAGCAATTCCCGAGTAGTTAGCGAATGCTAATGTGGTGACATCCAAAGGTACTAAAAACTAGTGCACAAAAATATTTTGCCATTTTCACGGGCACTGTGAGCGCATTATAATAAATTTAACAGTGTATACATGGACTAGGTAGTGATGGATTTTCAGTTCTTCTTCACAGACTGGTCTTTTTTGTTGAAACCTCTGAAACACAAAGACAATTTAATTGCTTAATAAATAACAACATGATGTTCTTTTTATTTTGTAGTCTCATGCCACTAAATGTTTTCCTTTCCTAGCTCGATGTCAATTGCAGCGAGCCTGGTAAGTGAAGATACAAAGACCAAGTTTTTGAACAAAATGGGCCAGCTGACTACATCAGGTGCAATGTTGGCTAATGTGTTCCAGAGGAAGAAGTAAGATGAGAAAAGGAACTCCGAGCTAACACTAAGGTGGACCTCACAGAGACTGGTTCCTGTACTTGAAGTACTTGCCTTTTAATTTCTTCTGTCTTATGTTCTTGTAGTATAATTTTATTCTAACCTCCAAAGATATTTGCACTGCTTTTGAATATCGCTGTGTATCTGTTAATTTTGGGTTAACTGTGGTTGATACAAAACTGAAATCATAGTCTGTACCAAGTCCCTGTTCTGTGTTCTTGTCTTTCCAGCATATTTTTTTTATATAGTGGAAGGTTTTGGTTTTTTTTTATTTTCTGACAGGATATCAGCAAATATCTGTATTATACATGGAGCTATTCTGACGGTACTTAAAATAATGTAAATTTGAAGTCATTGTCATGAAGTAATAAAAGTGGAGATTACTTATGTATTTAAATTATGAGAGAGTAATGCAGATTTTTTAATTATGTTTCTAAAAAGAAGAGGAAGAGCCACCAGCATTTGTCTGTGCTTCTAGGGTTGTTTTTGTAAGTATTGTGCATCTTGAATCCAGAGGAATTGCAGTATCTAATGTACGAGACTGCTTGCACTGCATCAGTCTGCAGGGAATGCTCATGTTTCACATGCTTTATGCCGACATTGTAAATGCTGTACAAAGTCCTTCAGATAAAATTCTCACACCTATGTGGTTTTTTGAGGGATTGTTTTCTTTTGTAGGGGTTTTTGTTTTATTTTAAAGCACTTTACAAGTCTACAGATCCACAGGCACATCCATTAAGTAAAGGAAAAACATGATAAATTAATAAATGTTTATAAACGTGTAAGCTACTACACAGGGTCCCCAGTACAGTTCTGCAGGCAGGGGAAACCTTATGCAGGAGAGAGACAGCTTTCGTCTTGCACTCAGTGTGCAGTTCTGTGGACTGTGGAAACTAAAGATATTTTGTTGTTTAGATTGAATTTCAGTTCAAATTTAATTTTGGAGTGTTTGAAATAATGCTGAGTTTGATGTGCTGAGTTTCTTTAAAATGTTAAGTAGACTGCCTACATACTTTTTGAAAATGACATTACAGGGAGTATATTCAACTACCAAATATTTTTGTTAGTAAGGAAGCGTTAACAACTAAATCCTTTTCTTCCTATACAGCACTTTTTTTCCCCCTCTTTATGTCAATGTAATCTGAAAGTAAACTCAAGTGCATGCATGAACTGGTATGAGGTAACACAATATAAAAGCTCAGGCGTTCTCTGACACGGTACCATTCAGCTGGAAGTACGGCCGTCTTTGAGGACTAGGAAAGCAAAAAAGAGCAAGGAAATAAAGTGTTCCCCCTAGAAAGAGGATATAGATGGAATAACAGGTCGGGTATCACCCTTAGATGGAGATAATGGAGATAACTTGAGGCTTCTGCCTGCTTCGTGTCTGTGCTGTTGGCTGTGCATACGCTGTTCCTGCCACGGCTGTGTTGTGACAGGGCCTGCTGCTCACGTGCGCGCCGTCGGTCCCCTCGCGCTGCACTGATGGAACATTTCTCTGGAGGTCACAGACTGCTCCATGCCTTCGTGTTGCTCGTTACCATGAAAGTACGCTTTTAGCAGACTGACTGTGAAATAGAGACATTCCTGAGGAATGGGAAGTGGTGACGTTCCTCTCTATTGTTTCTGTTGTCAATAAAAAGTTTTGTATACCTGCCTTGTCTTGTTACTTCTCTCTTCTCTGAAAAAGATAATCACATCAACAGAGCTGTTACAGGACACATATCTAATGTACAGAAATTGTTTAGCCTTAACTCTTTTTACGTAGCAGGTGGTAGACTGAACTTGCTCACTTTCCTTGGCTCCTAGACCTGTGGCTTTACTGCCATTTTCATTCAGGGTCTCCTCCTATGTCTCCTGTGCCACAGTTGTATTTTGGATGTTTCTTCTCCTTCTCTTTTCTGACTTCTCAAGCAGTTGCAGTGCCAGAAAGAACTTTGTAGTCATGAGACTGAAATAACAGGTCCATGGTTAAGCTGCTGCTTTTTAAAGCAGGGCAGCTGCCTGTGAGAGTGGCTGCTCACCTATGCTGAACTTCATCCACTGTTTGGAAAACTCGCGAATTCACACAAGCCAAAAAACTGTGACAGCAATTGAACTGTGGAGAGGGATGAGACTCTTTAGTTTGTTAGTATAAGTGTAGCATCTTTACCCCCATAGGGTAATAGGTCTAATGTCTCCAGCCCCTTGAAAAGTGTAGCTCTTGCTATTCACGGTTCTGCTTCACACCAGTTGTAGGAATTTGAGTGAGGATCACAGGAAGACCAGCACAGTAACTACTGAGGTGAGAAAATTACTGTGTAGGCAGCAAACTTCCAATGCAGGCTGTCTTCAGGAGTTTTGCCTCCTAAATTTCAGGTCTCTGTTAGTATATGTTGTTGCAGGAGTTTTTCAGTCTATGTTTTAAAATATGAACAAACTTTTAAGATTTCAAGTTGGTCCGTGGCGGGGGGCTTGGTGATTTTTGGGCTTTTCTGATTATTCCTCCTAACTCTGTCACTGTAACATTCAGGACTGGAAAATAAAGGAGAGACCCATTTAATGAGAAGAATTTCCAGAATATTTGAAATTAACCTTTCCCCCCCCACACACACACCCTTTCCTGTTATTATTCAAAATAAGTGAACCTTTTGGGAGAAAATGTTCTGTTAAAAGAAAGCAGTTCATCCCCTAAGGGTTGTCTTCAATTGCTTATGGCTCTGCCTGAGTAAGGATTCTGTAAAAAACGTAAATGTTTGCTCTATTGGCATTGCCTGAACTTTTTCAGCTTGTTAGCTTTAAATGTCAAAGGTCTCATGCTGCTCCTAGTGAAGTTTCAGACAAAATCTTTGTATCTTTATTTAAAATATTGACTCTTGTGTTCTTAAAGAAAAGTGATCAGTGGGCTGAAGGTACCTGGCTGCCTCAATATATGTTCTCTGTAGATTAAGCATAAAGCTAATTGGTATTATGCCTATATTTGGTTCTGAAAGATTATTTTCTAGAACTCTAAAGTAGGCAAATTGTTCTTTTTGTATCTTCTAAGCAAGGTGAATAAAGGGAACTCCACAAAAAAAGGCTGCTCAGTCTTCTATTAATCTCTTCCTACTCCCCTACTGCACCAAGAAGAAAAACAATCCTGCTATTTCTGTACATGAAAGTATATTCTGGGTAGGAGAACTAAAAGCAGTGTTTGAAAGGATTTGGGGCTAGAAAAGGTGAGGAAGCTGATGGATTGAAAGTTTAAAAATTATCCATTAAAAAAAATCTGTTGCAAAGACAAGGAGTTTTTATAATATATTGTGGGAATTCATTGCTACATAGTGATAAGATGATTCAAAAAGATTCTGCAGAAAAGTAGATTTGTGGGATATTTCTACTCTCTGTTGTGACACTGTTAATGGCATTTCTCTGTTGCAGGAGTCAGTGGCTCTATATTTTAGTGCATTTATGAAGGTGGGTATAATGCATTCCAAATGTTTTACGTAATTTCCCATATGGAATTTACTGATGATGATATTTAAGTAAACCATGAAGTCCCAGCACAGGTTCATGGAGCAGAAAGTCACTGATGTGTTGATACAGCAAACTGATTGGCATGGCACTCATCCAAGGTGGAATCACAGAAGTTTGCGTCAAATGTTAAGTGCTGATGAATAACAAGAATGAAGGCAACAAGATTTCAAGGAAACTGGTTCACTGCTTTTCGGAGTGAACATTTGGCTAGCGGTTCTTGTAAATACCTTCGGATCCGTAGCTAATTTGGTTTAGACTATGAAATTGGTCAGCAAAGGCCCAGAGGAGTGTGGTTGTTGAATAAAGCTATTCAGGTCCTGGATGTCAGCAGTGTACATGCTATATCGTGTGTTAACTAATCCAGATGAGTGACCATGAATGAGCACTCATTTTTCCAGAGAAGCTGTTTCTGAGGTTTAGCTTAGAAGCTGTTTTAAGGTTTCCTTAGGTTTTATGCTGGCCAGTTTTCATCCATACAGGTAAGCTGTAGGAAAAGATGATTCTGCTTACAGAGTTAGTTACAAGCAAGTCAGTGGCAAACAGCCTCTGTCTTTGGAGGCATCTGCACCACGTGCTGAACTTGAGCATCCATCACACTTCCAGTTTGGTGAAAGACTTCCTTAGGCTGAAGATTTTCATTTCCTAGAAACTTCTGAGCATGAGCAGTTCTACTGCAGAAGTGAGTGACTTGAAACAGTGACTCACCACTTGGTGTCAAGGCCCAACACCATGGCAGTGGTCAGTCTGGTTTCTTTCCCAGCACTGGGATTGTATGTGCTCGCCACTGCCTCCCTCAGTCGCCCCATGTCAGGCTGGTCTGCACCCTCTTGACTTCACCATCCCATAGAAGCAGAGGGCTGTTTGTTCTACCATTTAAATACTGTTTGAAAATAGGGCTGTTTGCAGTGTATTTGAGTATTTCCATTCCCAAAACTATTGTGACTGTGGCCTTGTGCTGCTGCTCCTTACCCTGCACTTTTACAGAGTTTTTTCCCCATTCCATAACACCTGAGAGGCCTCTTCAGGGGATGGAGGCAGTGCAGTGGAGTCCTGCTGAAGTGACAGCAGCGGTAGCAGAGCACGTGCCTGTAGGATCATGTGGGTTGTTCTGAAAGGCATTTGCATCTTCCCTTTAAATACGCTGCAAGGCAAGGGGAAGTGGTGATGGGGAAGAAGCAGCTGCAATGTTTAATAGGCAATAAGGGCTCATTTAGGTTTAATCTCTTGCTGACAGGTAAATGCACTCCGTTCATCTAAGTATGAGTTAATCTCAATCAGGTGAGTTTTCAAAGGAGTTTGGGATCATTAAGTGTGCTGTTGGATAAAATGGCAGGGTGACTCTGGGGAGCTGGTTATGAGGTGTTGCCAAGGGGTTAGGGTCTCAGTCTCCCTGCTGGTAGGTGTTTGCCAGCGTTCAAGACTCATCTCCAGGGCTTGAGGAGTATCCTGGGCAGAGCAAGCTCCCCAGGCCATGCCAGTATTGCTCTTGTCCCAAGGATGAACACATGACTCAAATCTTAGAGGTCGACAGGTATCTTATAAACATCCAAGTTAAAAATTCACCATGACTTTGTATTTCCTCCCTGGAGTATGCAGGCATAGCTGTTGCCACAGTGGCTGGTGATATCCTATCAGCTCAGTGTCTGCTTGCACGTACTTCAAATATCTGACGTACTAGCGGTGGTTGGGAGCGTTTTTCTTTTGAATGCTGTGGACTTGAGGTTTTCAGACAGGCATTTAGCAGTGGTACATTTTTGTGGGATTGTAAAAGGTGTGTTGTGTAAACCACACCAGTGTGACTAAGGAGCTTTATTATAGTTGCTCTGTCATGGGAAATATTTGTGTGTTTGAAAATTTCAAGGAGATTCAAGAGCAAAAGAATGCTATGGAAACTTGCCTTTCACAGGAAGAAAAGAGTTTCAAGTTGATGACATGATTTTATGTATGGGTTGGGGTCTTTGTAAATAATAGATTTTATTTTTTTAATTGATTTATTTTGATAGCTAGAGTTCTTAAATAAAACTAGAGCCTCCTGTGCTAAAATGTGCAGATATTTCTCTACCTTTTTTCTCCAAGTGTCGAAAGCTCCACATGCTGGATCATAGAGTAGGGCTCCCTCCCTGCAGTGGGTGATGAGGCAGCTGAAGGCAGCCTTTCTCCCTGGTCCCATGGCAGACTCTGTACATGGATTGCTGGTACTCCAGAAGCTGCACATCCATCTGCCCTGCAGGGCATCCCCCTGATTTAGAGGGATCTTTCCTAGAGCTTTGGCTTTGCACTGCACTGCCTTTCTTGCTCACCTGCTGAGAGGCAGGTGCTCATATTTACACAGCCTGTATTTAGCCCACAGACTGAAACCCCAGATAACCTTTGTGACGCATACTGAAAGAAAACTATTGATCGCGATCGATCAAAACCCTTCATCTCATCCTCTATCCCTCAGTAGCGTGTGAGAGGCAAGGGAATGCCTTCACAGCCTTCCTGCACATGAGAAAAGGTTTCCCAGGATACAACCATCTGCCTTTCAGCATTGCTTCTGTACCCAAGTTTCCATCACGTCACTTTGAAGACCTGGATTTAACACAGAGCCTCCTGGTTCTCCCTCCTGGGGAAAGGGTGCATCACAAGGTGTTGGTGTCCATGTGCAGGTAAGGGGAGTACAGTGGCATGGATAAAGTGAAGGAACAGCTGGGGACGTAAACATGAGTGTACAGGTGCTGCTCAGATGCCCTGCTGTATCCACCAAACCATTCCCAGCCTTTTCTTTTTGGGTTGAAAATTTAGAAAGATGGAAGACAAATTCGGGCATTGGCTGGGACTGAGCTGCCATTTGTCCAAGCTCCTGTAAAAGAAGAGTTTTTACACTGATGCTGAAGGGGTTTCATTTTCACACAGCTACAGAATTGCAGTTTTGATGTAGATAACAACTTTTAGAATAGCATTTAGCAGGTAATACCCACTTTTCTCTCTCTAGGAAGGAAGTAAGAAGAGATCCATACTGACCGCAGCCCTGCTAAGTGGTCAGCGGGGCCCACGGTTTGTTTTCCATGGCAGGCACCACCAAAGAAGGGATCCTGGAATTATCCAAGGTATTATTTTCATTCTGTCACACCGCTAAGGCTGCACAGGGTTTTCCATCTCTCCTTTTTCATAAGAGCTTCCCAAAGGCTAGTCCAGTTTATGCTTGTGTCCCACAGTGGTGAACAGAAACAAGAGGCACCCAAATGTCACCAGTAAAGCTGAAACCATAATACTTCAAGCATTCTGGTT